TAAAACAAGGGATTAAGGATAGAGGAAGAAAAAGCAACTCTAGCTTCGTTTGTTACCAGTTTGACTGCAGCTCGTATCTCCAGGAACGGCACCCTGTTGGCGTGGCATCTGTCGTGATAATGCACCTTTCCTAGCCTGTCTATCTCGTGAGGACAGAGTATTCGCCCGGGGAAGTTCGACTGTACCCTTTCGTTAATATGTAATTCGTGTAGCTTGCGGTAGAGGTACTGATGTGGATGTATCTGACTGAGATCGGTCAAATCGACGGAGTGAGCAGCAAGGCATGTACACATACTCTCTACAGATGAATATTATTATCCCTCACCACGAATGCACATTAAATGATATTAAATAACGATTAATATTACAGTTATGTTCCCACATAATGCTCATCTCATCTTCATCTATATAGTTGATGGCTCTCGTATATCAGCATCGTTTGTATGCAAGCCCCCGATAATCATCACACATACCCCGTAACGCCATTCACCAAGCCTTAGTAGCACCGCAGTACTCCGTACTTCAAGGTGATTCTTCCATCGTTGTGAGTAGTAACTTCGCAGTTGTTCGACTTGCAGTCCGCGTCATCACGGCAACTAGTCCATTGGTGGCCTTACTCAGATGGAAGTGCTTGTACAAGCAAACGTCAAACTTGCATTTAGTCTGGCCCTTGCAATCAGTAGATTTCGAGGCACTCCTGACCAATCATTTCCTTCTCGCGCCTCTTGCAAGTTCTCACTTTCTTCTCCAGGGCAGTGGAGAAATTCATGGCTGCGGATTGTAGGAAATTGATTGATATAGGAGGTTAGATAATTTGGTCAAGTAAGGCTGATGAAGCGTTTCCAAGTAGTCTCGAGGGAAAAGTCGTTGAATTGATGAACATCAGTCCCCTTTATAACGTTCCTTCATTGCCATGATGGAACCCTTTCAACATCGAGGGATCAAATATTGGGTGGTCCTGGGTCAACTAAAGCTTCAATATGGTCAAATGTCGCTCGATGGGGCCAAACAGAGCCAGATAAATACTATCTCTAGATGTTTTGCGTAGTTATACATTGATATCTTGAGCAGTTCCCCGAGGTATGTAAGTTGTGACTGGTGCTTCAAGCCACGGCCTAGCTGTCAACAGTTTATTCAAGCGCCACAGATGAGCCCGTTTGTAGTGCCAATAATAGATGTCACAAGGGCCAGAGAAAGTTCGTAGCAACTATCGAATGGGCGGTGGCGAATATCTCGCTAAATCAAAAGCTTTCCACGCATCGCGAGTAATCCTCTACGGCCAGAAAGAATCCTGAATGATTCATGCGCTGCACTGACTGCTATATGGCCACATGTAGTGCACTCCTAGTAGTATCATCGACGGCATGGTCAATGTTTGATGAACAGATGCCATCAAACAGCAACAAGCTGGTCCAAAAATAAAAAGTTCACTAACTGGCCCCATCGTGTGCCCAGGGTTCCCCATATTCCGGTCTAAGAACCCTAGGAGAAAGCCACGATGGATACGGAGTACGACGCTGAGATTCCCGAGAAGCACCATTCATTGATGCCCGGGGATGATGCTCTGACCATCTTCAATGACCGCGGGGGCCAGAGAGACTGTCCAGGCTCAGTGGATGGGGTATGTATGTCGAGATACGATCGTCTCTCTGCAGTGTGGTTGGTCTCGATGCGTTTCCTTTTCCGAGGAGACCAGTGAGTGCCATACTTGATCATGGCACCAGACCGACTTTCACAGCCAGCCAGCCAGCCACCCGGGACACCTAAGCATTTGTCCATCACTCCCGATCAACAATGTTTCTTTATCGTGGGAGGGGGATAGAAGAAGGTCCCGAGATCACCACAAATTTTTCATGAGGCAAAGATAATATCCAAGGTCAGCCAACCTCGGAGCTTCCATGGCATCGGAACAGGGCCATCCTGACGCTCCTGCTGCCGAGCCCACCCTCCCTTGATCTTGAGGGGACCAACTATCAAATAATAATAAATTTCCTGCGAAGGAAGAGAGGGTGGTGGCATTTTCGTGTTCAGCTTCATCAGGTCCAATCGAACAGGTAAACCTTGAGATCGCGACCAGGATACGTCACAGGGATAAACCGGGTCGGCCGATGCAGAAAAAAGAAAAAGCAAGCAGAGGGAGAGAGAAAAAAAAAAATTCTATTTTTGATTCTCAACTCTGGTCGTCGGTTCTCCATGGGCGTTTTGGACGAGCTGGCTCCCAGGAGTTGGTTGGAGCGAGCATCTTTGTAACCCCCTGAACCGTTGAACGGGCGTTTTGAGTAGCCGAGCCACCGGGCAGCCGTAAGATCGGTGTATGAAAGGGCGTATTTGAGCCAAAACTTACCAGCTAATGCAGTCCAGGACTCAAAAAATGGTCAAACTCACACCAAACAGTATTATTATTGTTATTATCGTCGAGTTGTCAGGGCTGGATACAGTACTTGGTGCTGCCCTCGCTATGCAGGCCGAAGCAAGTAAGTAAATGCCAGGCCTCCTCACGTGTGAGCTAGCTATTGGAACAGGTACCTAACAATCCCACGTAAGTAAGAGTAAGTTCCCTCCGTACAGAGAGCGACGGCCTTGCATGAACTGCGACATGGATGCAGCAGGCCAGGAAGGCAGCCCGGCAAGAGGCCAGCCAGCACTTGGCAAGGAGAGAGACGCCTGGAGAGACACCAAGGCCGCTGCAGGGACCTGTCGGGTGCAGCCCTGCGTGCAGCGTAGAGAGCGATGGCGTAGGACAGACGGTATCTCGTTGCCCGGAACGGCAGCCCGGATGAAGTCGATGTTCAGCCCGAATCTCGACTTTTGTCAAACAGATAAAAAGTAAAGATAAAAAAGAAATATCGAGAGGCAAAATCAAAAGAATTTAAAAAAAAAAAGAAGAAGAAGAAAAAGATATCTTTTGAATGACCGACGCAGGACTCGAACCTGCAAATCTCCTGATTCGTAGTCAGGCGCCTTAACCAATTGGGCCAGTCGGCCTGTTCGATGTGTTGAAGAGCCCGGCCAGTTGCCCTACTAAACTAACCTGGTGGTGTGGTAGATGTCAGCGAGTTGGAAGATGGATGGAGAGAGAGAGACAAGTTGCGGACTTGACGGTTCTCTCTTATTCAGCTTACGGCCAAAGACAGAGACTGCTCTGTTTATAAGGAGTTTCCCATATTATCTATACCTTCGGAGTAGGTACGGTACATCGGTATTTGATATTCAACAGTTGTCAGTAAAGGGAACCACCTCTCGTCCTTTCCATCCTATGGCTATGACATCTCATAACTATATGCTTCCAGTGAAATAGCAGCCTTTGGAAGGTTGACATATACTCCATACACACCACCCACTACTAAAAGCTTACCCCCCTTCCTCCCATAGTATTAATATTAATTATTCATAGGCTAGAGAAAGCTCTGTCGTAAGATAGTTATAAGACAGCACCTCAGATCATGGCAATCCCTGGAACTGTAGGAGCCATCCCCCGCTACACTCCTACACTGCCATGCTCGGTCTTCGTCATAGCCAGCTATCAGCTTACACCAATGACGTTTCTCAGCCTCATCCCCATCTCTTAGAGTGATGTGTATATCTCATACCTCAAATCCTTCGAGTAAAGGAGCAGTATCGAATGTCTCTCCAGAGGTCGTCCAACCATGAGACACATATAGTTGACCGTTGCAATCTCGCTACAAGGCCGAAAGAAAAGCCACTCACTATACGGAGTACTGGGCGATGAACAGCAAAACAGGCACAAACAGACAGCTTATCTTGACTTGTTGACTAGTTATCCAGTCTGCCAAATATACAAAAAGATGCTCTGTTCCAGCAGTTGAGTGACGGTCAGACCGTTGTTGTATGCAGGGTAGCTAGCTCGTTACCAGGGTTTCCTAACGGTCCCCATCGTATTAAACCCGAGTAACCCTGTAAATGGCTTCAGCCTAGCCGTTGAAAGGGGGGTTACACACGATGATTATGAAGATTCGCCGGGAGCTGTAGAGGGCAAAGAATGCGACTGTCTATGAGGAATGTCGTGGAGTATATAGAATAGCCCAAGTAGGAGCATCTATAAGGAGAGAGAGAAAGGGGGTGTCTGGATCCTGCATGGGCTCAAAGTGACCCTGGGCCTTCCGACTCCACAAGCAAACAGGCCGACTGGCCCAATTGGTTAAGGCGCCTGACTACGAATCAGGAGATTTGCAGGTTCGAGTCCTGCGTCGGTCATTAGAATTTTTTTTTCCTCGAGTCGTAATTTTTTTTTTTATTCGGCAAGACTCCGTAGATTTTCGTCATCATGGATGAGATGCGACGCCGGGTCTGGCCTGGACAAAGAGCAAGGATGGTATGTTCATTTCCTATTTAGCGAAGGGTGTGTGGTTGCTAGAGGGTGTCCGGCAGCGCTGGTGACACCTGAGATACTCCGGGCTAAGTGAGCGAGCGAGCGTCTGGAGAAGAGACGGCGGGCAAGGGGGACGCCAGGAGGAGGAGAGGAGGAGGAGGAAGAAGGAAGGTTGATAGCTTCCTCCATGGACATGGTAACGGAGCACGCTACGACATCTTTAAAAACACCCCGGGAAAAGCCCACTGGACAGGAGAAACGCATGGAGCATGTTAAGCTGGCTTTCCCTCCACGGCCTTGCCTTGCCTGGAGCTTCAGCATGCCCTCGCTTCTCCAACGTGGCCCATCCATGGCGCGGATAAACGGTTCTCCCCCTCCCTCGCAGCAGCTGGCTTGCTTGGTTTAGGGCCTGTAACTCGGCGTCGACAGGTGCTACCCCTGTGCAAGGCCAGGACCAGTCCAAGCCCAAAGCCAGTCGGCCTCCCCCCCCTCCTCCTCCTCTCTCTCCCTCCCCAAAGCCAAAGCCAAAGCCAAAGCCAGAGCCAGGGAAAAAGAACGAGCCGGCGTGTCGGTTGATTGGCCGCGCCAGAAAGCAGCGAAGAGGGAGGGCAGGACGGTGGAGATGCCAATCAACGGGTCTGATGGCCGGTGTGTGCTTGATGGCGCCGTGCTAGGGGGTGTGCGAGTGTGGTGTCGACCAGGCAAGCGGCGAGCAAGGCCTGAGGAGCGGTCGATTGGCCGGGGGTGGGAGAAAGGGAGGACCTGGTTGATGCCGGTGGGCCAGACATCGGCCCTTGGAGCTAGTATCGTATCTCTTCTGTATCTGCTGTATCCGTCCCCTTTGACGCTGTACCTCTCCCGTCTGGAATCTGCTTTTTTCTTTTCCTCCCCCCTTCTTGGGTGCTCTGCTCCGTAAGTAAAAGTGTTGGGTGGAATGGGCGAGGACAGACATGTCGGTAACTAGTGTAGTGTGTGTCCTCCGTAGTAGACCCCAGGGCAGCACAGCACAAGGGGGCCACAGTTTGATATTGGCCGATATCAGCCACTTTTCGACCGTTTCCTTTGCTTCTTTTTGCCTGGCCGTCGTCTCTCGAGGGCCTCCTTGCTCTGTATCCTCTGTATGAGCGTGTCCAGATAGGTTCATGGTTGCTTTTTCCTGTCCCCGTATCGTTTTGGCCCACTGCCTGCATCCGCCCTCTGACTGGCCTCTCCTGGCCTGGCTCAGCTCGCTCCAGACCATGAGGCAGCGTTGATGTGCTTCTTCCTCTCTCTCTCTCTGGCTGTCTTCTTGTCTCTTTCGTCTTCTTCTGGCCCTCTTACTCTTTTCTCTCTCTCTCTCTCTCTCTCTTTGGTCTCGTCTCGCTGTTTCTTCCCGGTCCCTTCTGGTCCTCCTTTCTGGCCGCCTCTGCTCGTCTCCCTGCCGTCCACCTTCTGGCCTCCCCTTGATCCTCCCGCGTCGTAGCAGACGAAAGCCCTTGTTCGTCTCCTTCGTCCCCCTCGAGCCCCCTTCTCGGCCCTCGTCCTCGATAGCATCAAACCTGTCTTCTTCTTCTTCTTCTTGTCTTTCGACGTCGAGACTCCTGGCTGCCCGTCGTGGTCCGTATACTCCGGCTCTCACCACCACGCTCCAACCGCCCATTAACTACTACTATACCACCAGCCCAGCACTCTCCCTCTCCTTATCTTTTATCTTTCTTGTCGCTTCGTATTCTCGTCCCGTCGTCCCTCGTCCCGTCTGTCTGTCTGTCTGACTGCTGCAGTTCTATCATGGTTACGCCGCGCGTTAGTTAGGAAGAATCTCAACGGGCTTCAGGCAACAACTTCTTCTGCTCAAAATCTTCAGCTTCGACGTCCGGCTCTCCAGCACTCTCACTCAGACTGCTTGCTCTCTCTCTCTCTCTCTCTCGCCCTCTCGCCCTTCTTTCGTCGCCAGCGAGCTTCTGCGACCCCCTTTTTGCTCCCCTCGCCTGCGCCGTCCGCTCTGCTTCTCCTCTCTAATATTCTGTCTTTGCGCGCGCGCGTCGCTTTTGCGTCTCTTGTCGGCTCTTTGCGCTCGCCGCCGTCGCTTCTCGTCTCTACCAGCGCCGGCGACCGTCATCTCGCTCGTCTCCCAGTCTGGCTCGGCCCAGCAGGAAGGGAAAGATATCTTCATTTAGAGAAAGCCGAGAGAGAAAACACCAGCAGTGAAAAGATTATAAAGGTTATATTCATTATAAAAAAACAGCAAGAAAAAAAAAAGACGCCTGCGTGAAGGATGGGCACTGCGCATCCCAACCAGGCCGGTGTCGCCTTTGAAAACTCCCTGCAGCGCAGAGAATCACTCTCGACGGGCCTTCCGCGCCTCTCGCTGGCTACGACAAAGGCCCTCGCCGTCTCCCAGGGCGGTTTGGCCTCGGACATCTTCGCCAGCACGTCGCAGGCCTCGAATCTGGCGGCCTCGATACCCTACTCCATCACGCCCATCGGCAAACCGTCCAGCTTCGACTCGAGAACGCCCGTCTCTGCCCGTCTCGGCCAGCAGGCAAACGGCTCTACGACGTCCAGCATGGGCAACGGACAGCAGAATAACAGTCAACAGCAGCAGAATCAGCAGCAGACTCAGCAGCAGCAGCAGCAGCAGCAGCAGCAGCATGGCGGTGCTACTGCGGTTCGCATGCGGATGCTGCCGCGGAACACCAGCTACGAGGCACTACGGAGCATGCTGCTGTTCGCAAAGAACCTGCTGGATGCTGAATTCGTGCCAAACGAATACTCAGAGGACGCCTCCTTTCTGACGGCCATCGCCCTGTTCGAGACGCGGACCGCAGCCGAGGAGGCGCAGGCGATGCTGAACGGGAAGCCCAACTCGACCAACGACGCCAACATGATAGTCGAGATCGTGTCCGGGCCCTCGACGTCTGCCATGATATCTCGCCGCAACACCATCGACCACCTGCCGCGCTCGCTCTCGATGCTCTCGCCGACCTCGCCGCATCCCTTCATGCCGCCGTCTCGCATGCTGGGCCGGCTGGACGACATGCACTCGCTCGACAATGCGCTGGACGGCTCGTCTATCGGCAAGCAGTCCTCGGCCTCAACTACGAACGGCGAGCTGCCTGCGCCAGATACAGGGTCTCGGATACACTCCCTTTTCTCCTCTCAGTCTCCCGCAGGCAACGGGATGAACGACCGGCCCCGTGTCTCTGGCAAGTCCGTCATCGATCAGGACGTCGATGAAGACACGGGTGAGCTGCTCAAGGATCCCATCGCTTACGCCAGAAACGGACCCATGGCCCTCCAGCGCCGCTCGACAAACCCGCAGCTGCCCATCTCGCAGTTCTCCAATCTCTCGCTAACGACCAACCTGTCATCTCCGCCGCTGGCCCCCTTCAGCGCCGGAGCCGGCACTCCAGCCACAGGCAGGAACATGGCCACACCCACCAGCGCAGTATCTACTTTCAGCGGAAGCGGTTCGACAACCCCTTACCACCAGCTCCAGTTCCACCGGCTCAACTACCCGCCAGTCAACCCAGCGGACCAGAATCCCCCCTGCAACACTCTATACGTCGGCAATCTCCCGCCAGACACCTCCGAAGACGAGCTCAAGGCCCTCTTCTCCCGCCAGCGCGGCTACAAGCGCATGATCTTCCGCCAGAAGCCCAACGGGCCCATCTGCTTCGTCGAGTTCGAAGACGTCTCCTTTGCTACCAAATGCCTGACCGAACTCTACGGCTACGAGCTCTCCAACAGCGTCAAGGGCGGCATCCGACTCAGCTTCTCCAAGAACCCCCTCGGCGTCCGCAACGGCCAGCCAGGCAGCATCCACCCTGCCAACTCCATGAGCTCGCCAGGCCCTGTCTCCGGCATGAACAACAGCACATCAGCAGGCATGGGACCGGTCCGGTTCTCAACTGCCAACGGCCCACCACCTGGTCTCAGCGCCCCGCCAGGCCTACCCATGCCCATGCCAATGTCTATTCCGACAAATAACTCAGCCATGGGACCGCCACAGCAGGTCCAGGTTCTCAATTCCTCGCAATTTAACGGCCTCGGGCTTGGCCTGAATCATAACGCGAACGCCATGGCAGCAATGCGGCCTGGTGCTGGTCCGGGTCCCGGCTCCGGCCCCTCCATGAATATGGGCGTGGGCATCGGCGTTGGCATCGGTTCGCCGACTGCCGGTAACATGGGAGCCATCAACAACGGCGGTTCATACCCCGACTATATGATGGGGAGATAAAAAAAAATAAACCTTCCATCTATACCACAGACCTCATTACATCACACCTATTCACTCACTCAACTCAACTTCTCGTCTCATCTTCATCTGTATAACGGTTTTGCATGGCGTGTGGCATGGCATAGCATGGCATAGCATAGCATGACATGTATGATGAAGGCACGGAGCATTGGGCGCAACGGACCACACAAACCATCACCACTCGACTCTCTATACCTTTCTACCTTCCAAAAAAGACGCAAGACGCCATCCAGATTCCCTTCTACTCGGATTCCTACCCCATCTGCTGTCGGTTTCCAAATTTCCCCCCCTTGGACTGTTATTTTCACCCCCTTTTTTTTGCCCCCGCTCCTTTTGCCATCTTATCATCTCTATTATCTACTTGGGACCGTTTCTACTGCTCTTAGCTCCATTCATCATGCTCATTTCAGCACAATCCATCGGTTCATCTGTTTGTTTGTCCTCTTTTTTTTTTTTTTTTGCTCTCGGGTTACGTCTAGCAGCGGCATGGTATGCAGGGTGGAGTGGTCTTATTTTGTCAATTTCATCTTTCTTCCCCTTTCCTCTCTATAACTCTACATCATTTCATCAGCTAGCAACATCTTCAGCCTGTTTAAGCGTGCTTCTTTTTTCTTACCTCCCCTTCTGGTTTCACAGAACGAACACCCGAATCCAAATGGCATGGATGGCGGTATGCTATACCTCAAGCCAAGGAAACCGAGTGTTAACGGATCCCTTCCAATACCTGCTACTCACCCCTTCCGTCTGCTAGCTAGCTACTTTTTGCCCCCTTTACCCCTTATTCTTTTCTTCAGCTTCGGCTTCTGCTTTGCTTTTTTGTTCATGTCTGCCCTTTTGATACCTCACTGCTATACCCTGCAATCTGCACTTTGTTGTACGGAAACACGGTCATGGTCATGGTCATGGTCATTGGTCATGGAACACGCGCGCCTACGATTGATTAATTACTCACTTACTTGGTTGTTTTGTTGCATTCGTTGATTGATGTTCTTGTTTGCGGCTGGTTGGCGTCTTATTTACCTCTCCCCCTTTCCCTCATCCCTTTGTCTTTGCCTTTTGATTTGCGTTGATACTCCCACTGCCATTTTTCCATCGGGTTCGGTCTGGATTCCTGCTTCCCATATCTGAGGCGTTCCGATATCACCATGACCCCTTTCATCGTCTCCCTTCTCATTACCTATTTTTTCTTCTCCTCCTTTGGCTTGTTCCATAGTAAGGAACCGCATAATTCGGACTCGATCCACAAATTTTTAACCTGCATCTACTCTCGCCACGCATTTCAACAACTGCTCCTTGTTTCGAGTTTATCAACATCAACCATATAGCCATGCGAGCATGGTCTTTCGAAACAAGCGAAGCAAAGAGTAAGGGAGGAAGGGGGTTCGATATAAACCATCGTCCCTGGCCGGGTCCTATCAAATCACTTTTACGTCTGCTTCTATCGAAACTACCCATCAACCCACCAATCTCCTCTGCACACCCCATTGAGCATTTCATCCCCTGCTAGTTTCCTCCTTTGTCTCATCTGCTTCTTTTTTTTTTTCCTGCACACTATAAAAACGGATAGCATGTATACCCCATTTCCCCCCCTTGCATTAGTTTTCGTCCCTGTCGTTACCGGGTCTCTGTTTGGTTTGCCCTCTTCTATGTATTCTCATTCTCAAACTCCCATTCTTATTATAATTACGGATCTGGCTCCTTTTTCTTCTTTCTATATGATGGATAACCGCCTTCTTACACCTAGAAAGGGGGGAGGTTCCATCCGTTCAATCAACCCATTCAGACAACCCTCACACTCCTTACAACAGCTCGATTTCCTTTCCTTTTTTTTTTCCTTTCTTGGTTTCTTTCCGTCCTTTTTTCTCTTCTTCATCTTTAAGCATAGCTTTGCTCTTTTTTTTTCTCGATGTAACTTCGCTTCTACTTCTCCTGCCTCTGCCCTGGTTAAGGCAGACCAGATATCCCCCTGCCAGCGGGGACTTTATTCTTCTATATTCTTCTATCTATCTATATCATTCGCATCTCTCCAGAGGGATTATTTATTTACTAATTCGCTTACTCTATTCTTCTACCGTTACATCTCTGATTGCTCGTCTTCCGTGACTTTGCTTTTTGTGCTACGGTCATACACTTTTCCATTCGCTGGGTGTACTTGAGGGCGGGTTCATCTACACTGTGGTCTCCTTCAACCAACCGACCGACTAACCAACCAACCAACCATGGAAATGGAAATCGTACTACGCTGGTCAAGGGGACCATGGGCTTCGGGGGGGGGGGTAACATTCCCTTCTTTCGTTCCTTGGGTTTTGGTGGCTTTATATCTCAGCTTCTATTTCAGCGAACTTCCTAGCCCAGGGGAGTGCATTAGATAGTTAGTGTTGGATATTTTTCTTTCTTCCTCTAGTTATTAAAATCCTCATTTCTGCCTGCTTTATTATCTACGATTGGTGAGACTGTAAGATTACTGAAAATATCGAATATCAACCTTGCTACAATGAACGTTGATAGGCTATTATTACTATTTGCTAACTAATTACTTTGCTCTGGAAGATAAAAAAACATATATGTTAACCTAACCTGTCCTCTCCTGACCATGGTATCTTCAATGCACGATGCAATAAAATGATAAACAATCACTCCTGCCGATGGCGAAAAGAACCGCTGCCTATAAGAGAAGAAGAATAAGAAAAAAGGGGGGGGGGGGGGTAGAAGGCAACAGCTATAAAGGCATCCACAAGAAGAGAGAAAAGAACTAGTCAAAGGCCATGCATGCGTACATGCATATGCGCGTGCTGCCACCACCGCTCGCTCCATACGGCCGAATGACTTTCCGCCTGCCGGGGATGCTGGCCTGATTTCTTTGTGCCTTGAAGTCAAGGGTTAGAGGATATAACAAAAGGCTAAGTCGGGGATAAAAAATGCAGTTTTTCTTTCTTTCGGTTTAATTATTCGGTGTGGTTGGTTCCAACATCGTTACCACGGCCCCCATTGTTCATCATGTGCTCCATAAAGGTCATGTAGTCGTACTTCGCGACATCCCTGTCCTCCAGGAGGTCAGGCCCCGTGTGCTTGGGCATCGACTCTACTAGGTTCTCGATAAGTTCATCCGGTATGAGGGAGTGCCGAAGATCAAGCTCGGTAACATATGGCTGTGGTAAGTGTAATTAGCCGACTGACATACATGCAAGTTGTAAGGGGGTAGTTGGGAATAAAACAGCTCCCAGGAGAAAGGGCAAAATTCAATGGTGCTTATTACCTTCCCGTCTGCTACCTCCTTGAAGCTCTGAAGGACCTGTTCAGCCGTGTGTTGATCCTCAGTGACGCTGACCATGAACCTAATGAACTGTTCAAAGCTGACGCCAGCGTTTCTCTCCAGACGGTTCGGACCACAGGTCTCCACGAAGACCTCATGCATCTCGTCTTCATCATATACCAAACCCAAACTGGCTAATGCAGCTGAGAATTCTATCTCATGCAAAGTGTTTGTCGAATCCCGGTCAAAGTGTCTGAATACAGACTCGAATTCTTCAAGCTGTATTGGGGTTAGATTGGTCATGTTCCTCGCAACCATTTGGTTTTCCAAGAATGCTAGCTTCTTTGCTACGCTGGATTTGACAAGGCTCAGTTCATAGGAGAGCTCTTCAAAGGTGTAGGTGGTAAAATCATTCTCTTCAATGTTAGCTTCTGCGCACTGTTCGTCGAGGTCCTCTATTGTTTCTAGGAATGCGTCTAAAGGTGGAAGGTTATCGCTTAGCCGTCGAACGTGCGTTAACTGATCTTCAACGTCTCCCTCGAGACCCGAGATCGCCAGCGAAAGCGTGTTCAAGGTTAAGGCGAAATCATTAGCCTTGTCCGCAAACGATCGCCGAAGAGCATTTTTAATATCACGGATAGTTTCATTGATCAACTGGCTTCGCTTGTGCTCATAGGTGGTTAAACTGGCCCATTCTTCATCCAAGACCTCTAGCCTGAGTTCTGGTGGTGGATCATAGGCCCGCAGTCGGTAGGTGCTCAGCTTCGTCTTGATATTCCCCAGCAGGGCAGCAAGGTCAGACTTCTCAGCAACCCATTCGCGCTTCTGGTTCTTTTTGTACGCGGCAAACTCGCTGGCCTGTTCTTTGGCATCCGCGTATGTGCCTTCAAAGGTAGAGTTAAGCCATTTTTCCTGCTGAGCAGCAATGTTCTTCAGCAAAGCCCTCATCCGGCGCTCAAAGGAGTTTTGCATCTCCCATGCTCCTTGCATGTTTTGAACGAACTTCTCAACACGTCTGCCGGCATTCTCTACCTTCTCAAGCTGTGAAAAGGCATGGAACCAATAGGCAATGTAAGTCATCAGGGATCGCTCGTCTGGCTTTGCAACATCGCACACGTCCTCTACGTCAAGCAGGTCCGGGATGCCAATCTCCTCTGCAGCAATGTCAAAGGCCAGCTGCATGTTCTTCCTGTGTTCGGTCTTGTCTAGTGAGTCGAAATCGATCAGGTCGGGCCTATGGATATCCAGCAGGGCGCAGAACGCAAGCCCATCGTTCCAGCTTGAGGAGAAATCCCGCACTTCCACCCCTGGATAACAAGCAGTTTTCCGTTGACACCATAGCAGCAAGCCCTCTTTTGCCGTCATGCCCTCCTCGTTGATGTCGCTGATCGTGAATCGCAGAATGAGGGTCCATATTAGGCCGAGTATTATCTTCCTGTTTCCGTCAACGATATCTTCTGCACCAATGTTGGTCATCTGTATCCCCCTCCCCTTGATAAAGTCGAGACATTTATTCGCATTTTCGAACTTTTGTACTCGAAGCTTTGGCTTTGAAGCATATCGGCCCAACGACTCGTTCCCCAGTATCTCGAGGATGTGGATTAGGATAACCTGTGTTGAGCCGCACACATTAGTACCGTGATAACTCTCGTCGCCGTCGTCGTCATCGGAATACTGACTCCATCTGAAAGGTCTTCCACCAGGTCATTTATGGCGATGTTCCGGATCTTGAGCTTTGTGTTTAACCTAGAAAAGCAGCAGTTTAGCAAACCTGACACCAATGTAGGCCACAGTAGACGCTATTAAACCGTAAGCTCACCATTTTGTGAATGTCTTTTGCTGGACATTGATCCATTGCTTCTCTACGGTCAACATTTTTCAGATAGCGGCACAGAAAAGTGGCGGGCCCTGGCCTCTGTTTGGGCCCCTGTAACAAAAACAACAAACGCTGCAACCACCCGTAGGGGAGTAATATTGGTAGACTAGCAACTGTCCCGGGCTAGGATCGACCGCACTAGAGCCCTTGAAAGCAGAGATGGCGCAGAATCAACCTTGGAGCGAGTGTACCTGGCCAAATTGAGTGTTGGTGGAGGTGGGTGTTTTTCTTGTCTCATTGCGCTGGAGTTGACGAGGGAAGAAGAGCGCGCGCCAAGGCCGACAGCCGCGGGCGTCAAAACGGGTGGCTGGCGGGCTTTTTCGTCGTGTTGGGTCCAGCCAGGCCTGCAGCCCAGCAGCAGGCAAGAGACTTTGTTTGCTTGCCATCCTTTACTGGTGGACGCTGTTACGATCCTCAAGCAAGTGTTAACGGCCGATGTTGTTCCTGTTGTGGTTGATGATGATTGCCTCCCCCACGGGTTTTCCCTGCTGCGTGCTCGATAGTTACCAACAGGATGATGTCATGGACGTTGAAAGGCCTAATTAATATGTCTGATACGGTGGTCAATTTACTTATCTTATCCAGACCCTGCTGGGCTAATGCAGGCTGCCGATCTTGCGGGAGCTGTTCGGGCCATTATTTGGTCGAAGAGAGCTAGTTTTTCTTCGCTGGTGGTCGTGGTAGACGGCTGATATACGGCAGGGTAGAGTATACGCCGTCAATCCACCATCTACATGAACCAATTGAGATGATACCAGGATCCCCAGTATCAAGAATAAGGATTGTCTTAAGAGGGAGCCATTATAGCAATTTCCCGTGCTAGATTGAACGCCGCTGACAGAATATCTACGGGGGAAGGATGAATCCTAACTCGTCTCTCCCGGTCCGAAACGATACCCTGCTAGGAGAACTCCACGGGTGAATACCGGTTGGAAACCCATAGTATCAACTATTGGGATCGTACAAAAGCTCTGGCCATTAACATACGACTGTATTGAAAGTGGTCATTTGAGTACCCTGGCCGCCTAGGTTCGTCAGCAGTTGCATTCGCTGGTTACAAAGCTACTATATATATATAACACCACAAGCCTCAATGAGCCTCCCGAGACGTTAAACAAACAAATCAAAAGATTATGATACAAGCATATGAGGCTTGTTCAGGGGAAGGGGTCATATATATAATCAAGCGTCGACCTGAGGGCATGTTTCCAAGAAGGTTATGGCTCACAACTTAAACGGCGATATTGAGGCCAGAAAGCGCCAGTGGAAGCATCAATCCTCCCGGAAAGGCTGCCGGTTTTAAGATTAGAGTTGGTACGACATAAGTATGGGGTTGCCTCTTTGCTAGAAAAGGAACCAGTCATAACGGGCCAATGGTGAATTTGATCTGGGAGACGTGTATCCCACCTAGAGATCCAGATTCACTCTCCCCTATGTAAGGCATACGTTGACCTTTTGAAGTATGGGGCACGTCAAACATATAGTTGTGATCTCGACCAGCCATCTCACACAGGACTAGGGGAGGTTCCAGCAAACAATGTACCCCAGAGGTGCCACCGTAGGCTCAGGGATGATAGGGGAGCCACATCAGATCATCTCTGTTGCCATTGAAGATATGACCAGTCGGTGGCTCTTCCTAATGGTCTAGCCGAAGGGGATATCACAGTCACGGAAGAGGCTGATGATCGTCCATACCGATGGGTTTCCCACCAACTAGTTATGTAGATGCGAAGTGAGTACGAAGTACTCCGTACTAGGTAGGAGTCAAACAGTAGTTGGAAATCGACTGGTCGTCGCTGATTCTCTGCAGTATCCGGAAGGGGTAACGAGAGTAGAGTAAGTAGTTTACTCCACAGGTGGCTTGAAAGGCTTTGAATTTCTGCACGTCAGCATATTGAATGGTAAAAAGAAGACGGCTTTAGAACGCGGTATCAAGACCAGACAGTTTGATATCGTCATTTCGAGAGATGGCAACAGTATAATGTGCAGGGAAGATGGATATATTCAAGGGTATATATGATGTCTGCCGAGAAGAATGAATGATGGCCCCCTTCGATCACCATCTTTCTTGCATAACTGAGAGGAAGAAGACCCTTGTGGCATGGAGAAACTGATAGGCTAGCCTTGCCGAGTGAACTCAATACCAAGAATTCGCTAGAGGATGGATTTTCAGACAAGACATGATCCATCATCCACCCACCTGCAAGAGAAGGAAATGGAGAACGAAGAACCCCGGCGGAGGGACCCAGGAAGTGCATCCATAGAATACGGAGAAAGCAGGGGGGAAAATCGCCAGGAAAAACCATGGTCCTGTCACCATGATCACCAACACTCTGTCTCTCCAACTACTAAGTATTTACTAGCTTGGTATGCTCGCTAGCCGAACACCAAGAGATCCAAGTGATAGATAGAATAAAAGACTTAACCAGACTGAGTACTGACTTACTTATGTGAACAGGGCCATCCGCCCCCCTTAACTATCAGTAGTATGAAAGAGGCGCAGATCAACCAGCAAAGCAGCGAGAAAAATAAATAAAGGGTGGCCGCCCGTCATCGTACGCGATGTAAATCGGATCAACGCTGCGAAAAATCAATAGTTTTCCCAACCACGATATTGGCTCCATACGGCGTCTTTGAGAAGGTCGGGGCGGCTTGATCGGTTAACGTGAATATTACTATTTTTTTTTTCCCTTCATAATTAACTATTTGCTGTCGTCGAGCTCGGGGGAAAGAAAGGGGGTTGGAAGAAAAATGTTCTAGAAAACTTCGATGAAACCTTCCTTGTCAGCGGAGATACTAAACCCACTTGTGTCAAGCTGGTGGACTGTTTTATGCAGGTGTATCGCTATAATTGGGCGCCTTGCTTATAACAACATGTCGTTATGCAAGCGGCTGTCTGGAGCGCTACTTGATAACGCTTTATCGTCCTTTTGTTTTTTTTTTCTTGTTGTATATAAAATACGAGCGAGCAGCTGGTTATTTGAGGCTGGTCTTCTGCATGAAATCATAATAAAATGGAGACGGGTTACTCCATTTATGTAAGTAAGTAGCGCAACCGTGAGATAGTGTATCGTTCAGCATGTCAGCAATTCCCGTAAATAGAGAAGGTCTGCAGCAGGGATGTCGAAGGCCCTTCCCCACCCGCAAGACGTGAGCATTGCGGGCCCCCTGGGAAATTGGCCTGGGTCGCGCAAGTCGGAAAGACGAAAATCGCCTGTCTTTTTCGTTCTTCTCCATCCTTCCGATCACCCTTCTTTCATGACGTTTTTCTCACTTCTTCGTCTTCTTCTTCGTCTTCGGCTTCTTCTTCTTCCTCTGCGGCGCTTCCTTCGAGCGCGGATTAAGTAAAGCCGCTAGACCCGATGCGGCAAATGATCGACCGGGAAGCTATAAAAATAGCCTCTCACGTGATATTAAGGGGTATATCACGTGATATAACTTTTTCGACGGTCCCAGAGAAAGGACGCGAAAAAAAAAGGGGGAAGGGAGAAAAAAGTCGAAAAAAAGTTGGAAGTCGGGTGACGGTCGGTCGGGGTGGGTGATGCGGAGTGTACTTACACTCCCGTAAAAGAGCCCGTCGATGCTGTTCATGCAGGGCCGGGTCGCGAGGCGCTGGGATGAAACATGTTCAGGAGGAGTCGAGTTGGAAGAAAGTTTGCTGTGTGTACACCTTCTTATGTATCAGGCTGAGAGACGATATCGCTTAGAAATTGGAATATTAACATAAAAAAAGAGCCCGTGCATGAGGAGATAACCAGGGCAGAAGAATATGGTAATATTCTATCTGATAGTTCGACTCCCTCTAGCCTGGCGAGGCTGGCAGCGCAGTTCGATTGCCGGAGAGGTTGCTTGCTTGCTTGCATGCTGGGGGAGACCAGACAAGACTGGCTGGTGGCACCTGTGTTTCAGGATTCTCTGGTCCGAACCACTACGAGATCGTGAGATGCTGCAGCATTCTGTGCTGTGTATGGAGTACATGTGAGGGGTTCATGCTGCTGTCGTTCACTCAGAGTATTGATTGACTGATCTTCTGGTTGTATCATTTATTGTTGATTACCGTCTGAGTTGACCGAGATCTTATATTGATATTGTATACTCCGTACTGACGACACGCATATTAGCATCAGTCAGTCTTGTATACTCCATAGCTAGGCTCACCACTTTGCATCCTCTGTTTATCATCGAGGGTAATAATGGGAGTACTGAGGTCATCCAAGGACCAGAGGATAAGGTTGAAGGCCGCAGCCCCCCTCGCTGGCGAATGAGCCGTATCAACGACGCAGAAGGATCTCCACCCAGCAGCGAATGGGCTTTCCAGGCTCTCCTGGTGCAGTCGGAGGCTGTGATCCTCGCATTTCACGCCCAATCACACCGGCCAGCAGGGCTGACAAGCATCTCCAACCCGTCCTTCCTGCTGTACATACAGTATCGATACGGCGGGGGGGGGCTGGCGATCGCGAGGCTTGCTCTGCCTGCCTGCCAGCTCCATCGCAACCGTCTCCGCCGCCTGCCTGTCCGTCTGTCGCCCGCCCGCCGCCGCCGTCCGTTGAAAAGGAAGCCCGTCGATGTAAATAATAATAATAATGGAGTAGACTAAATAGCGCCTTAGCTGCACCCGCGTCAGGTATCGCCCGGACTAGCGTAATGCCAATACCGCTAGGGGTGGTCGAGCCGGCCAAGCGCGCACTTTGCTGCCCTTGCGCGGCGGGTCGGCTGTCCCGATCGGGCATGACGCCGTAAGATGCCGGGGCTGCTGTACTGTCACGCCCCCGTCACCGCGCAAGGGCAAAATTACGGCGTTCCGCTCGCTTTCTTTTCTTCGTCGCTTTTTCCGCTTCTTCCTCTTTTTTCTCCTTCGCTCGACCTTCGACCTTCGACCCTGACAAGCAAAAAAAGGACTCCACGTCGAGCATCCCAACAACGACCGCCCACCGCCGCCCTCGACAGCGACGCCCGCCATCGCCTCCGACACCGACCAGCCGTCTGTCTCTCGAAGAAAAATAAAGGGCCGACCGTCGTCTGTCGCATCGCGTTCTCTCTCTCTCTCTCTCTTCCCCCCTCGCCGTCGACGCCGTTCTGGCCGCCTGCTCCCAGGGGCTCCTTTGTTCGTTTTTTCGCCGGGTGTTGTTCTCTGCCCTTTGCCACGAACCACCATCCCCTTTTGTCCGGTCTTAGGCAGAACCCTCGCTCCTCGCATCGCCGGGTCAGCTACTAATATCGCGCTGCAGTTCATAATAATAATAATGTGAGTGCTGCTGCCTTTGCTCAGAACACTCTCCCTCGCTTCGTTTTGCCAGCGTTTTCTTCCCGCTTCAGCCCTCGCTCTTCTCTTCTCTTTCTCGCCCTTGGTTTTGGGGGCTGGAACCTCAAGCCAGCATATTTGAATACGGACTCGCTTCCATCTCTCTCTTCTCTCTCTTCTCTCTCGCTGTCTCTCTCTCTCTCTCTCGTCCTGTATCTTCCCTTCTGCCATCGCTAGTTATCCTCGAAGGGAGAACGGAAGAGGAAAAAAAACTTCAAAAATTCAGCCGCTAGAAAGACGTCTCTTCTAACCGTAGTGTCCTCAAGCAGATCCTCCATCTTCGATCACATTCCTACATTTACATCATACTGTTGATCGAGTTTCTGTCTGATAAACCGCCAAAATGGGTTGCGGAATGAGCACTGAGGATAAGGAGAGGAAGGCCAGAAACGAGGAGATCGAAAACCAGCTTAAGAGGGACAAGTTGATGCAGAGAAATGAAATCAAGATGCTTCTGCTTGGTAAGTCGTCGTTGGTTGGCTTCTTCTGGTGATGGTGCAGCTGCTGATCAGAGCCATAACTCACACACAACAGGTGCTGGAGAGTCTGGAAAATCTACCATCCTGAAACAGATGAAACTCATCCACGAGGGATCCTACTCTCGTGATGAACGCGAGTCGTTTAAAGAAATCATCTTCAGCAACACCGTCCAGTCCATGCGTGTCATCCTCGAGGCCATGGAGAGTCTGGAACTTCCGCTCGATGACCAACGGGCTGAATACCACGTACACACCATCTTCATGCAGCCAGCTCAGATCGAGGGTGACTCTCTCCCTCCAGAGGTTGGTGCTGCGATCGAGGCCCTGTGGAAGGATGCTGGCGTTCAAGAGTGTTTCAAGCGATCAAGAGAGTACCAATTGAACGATTCTGCCAGATAGTATGTCTTACAAGTCTCTCCCCCCTTGGATTTCTTTTTTCTCCCCCCTTTGGGAAGAATCAAAAATACTAACCACTAATTACCTAGCTACTTTGACTCCATTGGCCGAATTGCCGCCCCAGACTATCTCCCTAACGATCAGGACGTCCTTCGCTCCCGTGTCAAGACCACTGGTATCACCGAAACCACCTTCATCATCGGTGACCTTACCTACCGCATGTTCGACGTCGGTGGCCAGCGTTCTGAGCGTAAGAAGTGGATTCACTGCTTCGAGAACGTCACCACCATCCTCTTCCTTGTCGCCATTTCAGAGTACGACCAGCTTCTGTTCGAAGATGAAACCGTCAACAGAATGCAGGAGGCTCTCACCCTGTTCGACTCCATCTGCAACTCGAGATGGTTCATCAACACATCCATCATCTTGTTCTTGAACAAGATTGACCGATTCAAGGAGAAACTGCCTGTCAGCCCGATGAAGAACTACTTCCCTGACTATGAAGGTGCGTTGTCTCCACTCCGTCTTTGTCAAAGCTCGTCGTCCAATTTCGTTTACTGACACAAAACGCTCTAGGTGGCGCCGACTACTCTGCTGCTTGCGACTACATCCTCAACCGCTTCGTCTCATTAAACCAGGCTGAGCAGAAACAGATCTACACACACTTCACCTGTGCCACTGATACCACCCAGATTCGATTCGTCATGGCTGCTGTCAATGGTAAGTTATCACTGCTCAACCCTCTCGATGAAGCTCTTTCTAACAATACATCCAGACATCATCATACAAGAGAATCTCCGACTCTGCGGTCTCATATAATGCATCTCTCTCTTTTTTTTAAGAAAAAAAAAAAGAAGTCCCAGCTTCCTGACCTCTACCCGGGTCGTTGTCTTTCTCTTTCGCTTGTCTTACGTGTATTTGATATCCCAATAATTAACCTGCTAAAATTCCCCCAGCAACCAACGCGCTACGTCTCCCGCCTTTTTATTTTCAGTTTTCCCCGTCCCTCCAATCTGCTTTGCGTGGCTCTGCGGTCTTTCACTCTGCTTTTTCTCTTTTTACCATCAAACCCCAGGCGTCTCGTTGACCGTTGAGTCTATGCAACCCCCCATCCTCCATTCTTGGATTACTAATTTCCTACTAATATGTCCATTGCAACGCACGCAAGGATATCGTTTTTCCTTCCACCGACTCCCTTGCTTCTCCTTCCCCTTTCTTCTTCAGGGACCCATCCATCTCTTCGCTACTCCACCAACAAAACCTCACCATCACCAATCAACTAACAAAACCAATCAGTCAGCTCTCGCTGATCTCTATGCCCTACACCATACCTTCAAAGTATCGGTCGGCATATTTACGGATTCCACGTCTATTGCTTTTTCTTTTTCTTTTTTTTTTTTTGCCTGTTCTTTTTTTGTTTCGAGTGTTCTGTCACCTTTTTTCCCTGTTTTCCTTGGTATATCCTCAAGTTTTCCCTCACCCCTCTCCCGCCGTCTTTCATTCAAAGGTATTCCCCCCCTTTGCTTCCATCCCGTGTCTCCTTATCTCTCTCACCTGTGGGGGTAAACCTGTACAATTTCTCAAATGCAATTCTCTTCCCTTATCTCCATGTCGGTACGGAAATCAGGAGGGCAACAATGGCCGTAAATGCTATTCTATAATTTTCTTATCTTTTCCTTATTCTCTTCTCTGTCCTCTCTTCTCCTTGTCTTTCTTTTTTCGACTTTTTGTGTTTCCCTGTGTCTCCTCGCATCTCTCTACCGCTTGTTAGTTTTTGGCGAAGTTTTTTTTATAGAAAATGATAGCAATTCGATGACGTTCAACGTGACTCTTTGACTCGTTTGATTATTATCTTATTATCTATCCTACATTATATTAGGGAGATAGTTGAACCAGTTCATAACCTCGCTAAAGCATAACCTCGTTCAAACAAAAATACGGGTATATAGTTAATTCCGCTTACAAAGTACAACCCGCTCAAAAAGCACATCCCATCTCCTCAGAACCTCAGTTTGGGCCCAACATATACAATCATAATAGCCACAATCCACAGCCCGAATATCCATAAATACATCAACATCCTCCCCCACCATCCTCTGCCCTCACTCATCCGTCGAAGCATACTCATCTTCTGCCCCGCCGACTCCAGACCAGTTGTGTTCCTATCCAGTCCCTCCACGGCACGATCTATAATCGACTTTTCCGACTCAAGAGTTGTATTGAATGTCTGCGTCGAGGTCTTCAGCTGCTGGGCAAGCATGAGCAAAGAATCCGTTAGTGACTCCTGTTCTTGGCGATCTTGGGCCAGGGAGGCTTCTGGATCGAGATCGATTTCTTTTCTGGAGGGATCTCGGGGGCGGAAATAAGGGTTGGGGCTCGGGGCGGGCTTTAAGGGACCCGTGGGTGTAGACGTTATCGGGTATGCGGAAGTCGTAAATGCCCCTGTTGATCTGGCGGCTTCACTAGGGCGGACGGCTGTATCTGTTGGAGTTTGAGTGGCTGGTATTGTATTTCGGCTGCGTAGTGTGTTTGAACCATGTGCTTCGCTGTGAGTTGATGCGGAACCGTAGGAGGAAGATGGTGGCGTGGGAATCACGGAACTCATGCTTGCTTCTGATGCAGCCGATTGATCCTGTGCTTCTGCCGGTCTGGATTCATCTCTTATATTCGCGGAATTTGTCGAGGCCTGTGAAGATAGGTTTTCTGGCGTGATGCTGTCTTGTGGCGTGGGGAGGATGTCTTCTTCATCTTCTGACGAGTAGACGCTTGCGTCCGCTATGTATTCGGAGGAAGAGGAGGTCGTGGTATTAGCTGCTGCCGTTGCGCGAGCATGTGCCTGGGTGCTGAGGCCATCTAATCTCTGTCGAAGTATCTTAAGCTGTTGCCTCTTCTGGGACAGGTCCGATTGAACGGTTTGTCTGCGTTGCGGGTGCTTTATATCTGCCGAGTTTCGTTCAAGCTGGAGTAGTAAGTTGCGGCCATATTCTATATTCTAAAGCGGATATCAGTAATCTTCTCGCCATCATAGAGAGTAAAACTAGTGTATTTTAAGGAGTAAAATGCCTTACAGCACCAACGCGAGCTCTATGATATTGCGATCTTAGCAGGGGCTTCAGGTCCGCGGAAGGCGATAGTATGTTGCTTTCCAGCCGAGATAGTAACTGAGTGAGATTTATAGAGGTGGTATTAGGGGATGAATATGCTTCTGATAGCTTCCGCGCCATTGCGAGTACAATAATGATATGCCGTTCAGCCAATTCGATGGGTTTGTCTGGGTTTCCTTCTGGTTCGTCCCTTGCGGTTCCCGTCTTTTTTTGATAACCAACACGTTTATCTGTCAAACGCCAAGATTTTATGCCAAGAGATTGATAACTTTGATTAGTCACCCCAGAATTAACACTTTGGAGAAAGCGGAAGTTCCCGACGTCCACAAACGTCCCTAAGCGAAGGGCCAGGGGGTCATTGCTGTATTCCTTTTACCACGAAGCATGGAATAATGACACGGCCGATATCATTAACTGGATGATGCTGAAAAGTAATACGGACAGCTTGCGCCACTGGTTTTTATATGTGACCCATAATATCCTCGGCGCAGCCAGTGTTTCATGGATCTGATAGTTAATTGAATATTCACAACTTGCTATTAAGGGAAGCTATATACAAGCTCTAACTCTGAACCAGCGGCAAGGACGGGATCAATCCTGCTAATCCGTTTCCCATGGCTTCTTGGTAACCCCTTCGATGTACACGCCACCCCTTGGTCGCCACATGCAAGCGTTGTCTACTGGCAACAGTCGCTCTCGAGCTCCCTGGAATTCCTTCTGCTTTTCTTCCGAAAGACCCTCCGGCATAGGACAGTCTACGCTCCAGGCATCCGTTACGATGAAGCCCCGACGCTCGTAGACTGGACGTCCATAAGGAGTCGCATCCAGCCAGCATTCAAAATTCAACTCTTCGGCCTTATCCAAACCCCATTTGAGGAATAAAGAGCTCACGCCGTGTTTACGATATGATGGTATCGTAAATGCAATATTCAGGACTGATAGTAAACAGTTAGCCTCGTTACCCGGAGAATATATAAGACAACCTGGTACTTACAGACATGGGGTCTCCTCGCTTTCTTCGCACGAGGGGCAGTCGTATCTCGGAGGTATTTATTTGCAATAATCCTTTCCATAGAGCCCTCTGGATACCAGTCTGCAACGACTTTTCCTTCATCATACGTCTCGTACGGGTTTTTCTGGTGGATTTTCCATAGTGCTGCGCCGGCAATTTTGTTATTCGCGTCCGCATCAACAACCTTCACCCACTGAGCGACGGGAAATTCGTTCCTATACTCCTCCTGGAAGAACTTGATGCTATCCGCAAGACTCTTTTCCCTGTCGTTGTTGAAAATAGGACAGAATATGCGGAAGAACTTCTGGTGAGGTTCCTCGTAGGCTTCCCATAGAGCGGTGACTAACTCCAGGAAGTCGTCCTCCCCAACCAGCTGCAATTCCAGGCGCATTATTTATTGCTTGATACTAGATCTCGCTTGGTGATGATTAAAATTTTAGAGCCGGCGAAAAGTAAACCGCCCTTCTCGGGGTATCTTATATATATGTCACCGGCGAACCATAACCATGGGTCAAGGTGGAGATACTTTTCATGGTTGCTTGGTCCCGGCCGGAAACTACCCGTGGCCTGCACATCTCCTGTGCAGAAAAGATGACTCAAAAAGTCGTATGGATTCATTGCACACAGATTAAAAGCTGTCCCTGAGGGTCTCGCCTGCAAAATCGGAAGAAGTTTTGCCACGCAAGTGGCTCGGGCTTCTCTTTGAGTGTTGACAAATCCCTTACATATTTTGTATTATTAATTGTTGCATCTCGAGATCGTATATCGCTCGCAATTGACTCAGTATATGCATGCCAGGACTTTGGTAGTGTTATTTGATAGAAATACTCGTATTATGAACAAAAGGAACGGGTTCGTGGCCATTGCATAGACGCCACGTAGTGGGATAAAGGGGTACAATATAAAGAAGTCCTCTATCCAGAAAAAAAAAAAAGATGATGGTTTCGTTGAGGGTATCACTTCGTAGCCGGTACATCACCCCATGTGTGCAAGTAAAAGAAACACAGCAACCAATTAAATATCACCATATTAAAACCCAAACGCATAATGAAGCAGTCCCTGCTTTGAAAGAAATTTGAACCACTAGTGGTACTCCAACACCTTTCTCCTCCAGTTTTTTCGAGACTTCGATCCCACTTCTTTAAATATCTGAACGGCTTCTTTCTGAAGCCGTGGTGCATCAGGATGACCTGACGATGATTCTGGCTGCGTAAATTCCCTCTCGGACAACGTCATTGTGTGGTTTTTCATCTCCTTAGCCGCTGATGGTAATGGCAAGCTCGTCATATCGAACGGCTGTGGAGGCCCTGGATTGGAGAGTGACGGTGCTTCGAGGTGACCGGAATTGCTCTCACCAGCCATAGCAGGCGGAACTTGACTATCGGGAGGAGAAGCTTCTTCGATCGATAGGCGAATCTGGAGTTTCTCGCCCGTGTGGCTGGAAATATCAATTGCCCGTGAGTACTTTTTGGCGCTTGAATCTTCGGAGGATGCCATTTTGCGCCCTTGGACCCGTCGTATAATGGCGAATACGAGCAAAGAAAATGGTAAGAGGAGTAACAGCCGGGAATGAGGAGATATTCGTGAAGTAGGTATTTGGAAGTAACCTTGCTTGATGGGAGCCATGGTGAGAAATAGTGGCTATTTTATATGGAAACAGTGTTGATGGCGAACGGAAAGGAGTCAAGTATTTTTTTTTGCCTCCTTGGATATCACTTTGAAGAAAGCGTTGAGGTATGCAGTAATGGAGGCAAAGAGGCCGAATATCCATGCAAACGCAAGCGTAAGTTGTTTATTTCCATAATCCAAAAAAGGAATAAGAAAGATATATCTATGGCGGAAGGCGACAGATATATACAGTTGAGGCAGCAGCTCTAGAGTCGACGATCAAGCCGGACCAGAGATCCATGCATCTAAGTTAAGAGAGAGAAGAGAAAAAGCAAGAAGCGAAACAAGGTAAAAAGAGGGAACGCCGCATAAGTAGGCGTCATCTAACCTTTATTCCGCTTGAATGAGGTCAAAGTTGACCACCCAGCAGTCTAACCAACCGTCTGTCTTGTCTCTTGTAACGGTGGGCCCGTTGGAGCTTCGACGAGAGGGTCGCCGAGGTTCCCGAGATTCCATAGCCCGCGGCTCTGGATCCACATCAGCGAGACAACTCAGCTTTGGAAACTGCTGAGACCATCTTCTTCGTCTCTCAACGGGCAAAACACAGACGATCCTGGACGATTTTCAGAATGAGACCTACCACTATGGCAGGCCTAAGCGCCGTGGGAACTAATTCGGACGGAAACACCGGCATCCTGTGAAGATCTCCGTGGAACAGCAGGCTCCTTCCTATCATTCCACCTGGAACGTAAGGGGGTAGGAGTTTGGTATAGTGGTGGCATCCGTACGGGGCGTAGTGCTTCGCATGCTCGTACGTAGCACAGCACGAGCTTTGTCGAATAAGACAGATCTTGCCCCGCAACGACTAAAAAAATTGAGAGCTCGATCGACGCCACATTTCACAGGGATGGGTTCGTTGACGGTCTTTGGAAGTACATTTGCTACTTTGAGGCTCATATTGAGTACCGGGGTTTCCTCAATACGGGCGTACTCCATTAATATGAAAACTATCCTTCACCCCCAGCTGCTTGGATTACTCTCTTCTTGACGGTCCCATGCGCTCCCAGTCACATCTGAGCCGCAACAGGCGTACTCTGTCGTATTATTGCCCAGTAGGCTCGGGAGGGAGGGATTAGGGGAAGCGAGCAAGCTGAGGTTTGGAGGTTGTTCTTCGGATAAGAAAAAGCAATAAGGGGAGTTCAGCTGGTGAGGACGACACCTTATCTTGACCGGGACTAGCGCCGTGGGACACAGCCACGATTAACAACGTGTTTATTTTCCTTCGATTTTCCTTCACCAGCCACACGCCACCAGCCACAGTACGATGAGCTTGCCTCCTACTATATAGAAGCCGTCGGCCACTTTGGACGAGGAAGAAACTGACTTTGCTCTAAGGATATGTCGGGGTAGCTATCAGCGCTAGATCTATGAGTCGATGTTTTTCGCCTAGCGGGAACTGTGGACGTTGGTGCAAGCCCTATTTTCTGCTTGATGGCTCAGAGCGTGTTGGCTGAAATATACCTGGGCATTCCAAACGGAAAAACATGACGAGGCACAGATTCGAGGGAACCGGAGATCTAGGCTGATATCCCTGTGGATACCATCATACTGTGTCGCCTGAGGTTGGTGTGCCTTCTTGGCCAAGTGGAAGGTAAGGGAGAGGCTGGCTGAGGATGATGTAGCGCTACCTTTCCCCCGCCTTTGCCTGAGGGGTGAAGCGGCTTAGAGTCAAGTTATCCCCACATCCTATATGACAATTTGCAGGGGGTGTTGATTTAATTTTAGATATTGGGACTGTGAAAGCATGGAAGCGGGCATGGAAGGATTCATGTTTCCATAGTTCGAAAAACGTCACCTGTCAATGTTTACTCCCATATATTCTGTTGATCCTCCCAAGAGGAGGGATACTATGTCCAGAGGCAGGTTTTCCTAGTCGATCGGCCATTGCTCTCTGCCTGAAGCATATTTTCGCTTGGTGGTATCCTTGCCAAGGCTGTGAGGTTCGTTCATATCTGAGAGTTGCTTGTTTCTCCTAACAAAGATACAACAAGGATTTAAAATCTGACCCTTGGCATGTCATTCTTGCGAGATTCAGGGCCTGACTGGCTACCTGTAATGCCCACACTGCTCCCCATGGACGTCGTTCAATATTACTGGAAGTCCCGAGGAATGTGTCTGCCTGGAGTCGTAGATCAAATGCCTGTACGCTGGGCAAGCCTGATGCAGACCAAGATTGGGGTATATGAATGGCTAGACGGATTTTGTCTCTCGGCTAGTTACATGTTTGCAAGCTAGGCTCCGCCCATGCAGGCTCATGCACGGCCAACAGCTCATAAAATTGAGCACGGCTGGCAATAGGCAAGAAGTGCCGGTTCCTTGCATCACATATGGTGCCATGGATACATGCCATCAAACACAACAAGTAGAATCAAGTTGCAAGCCGTTCGTTGTCTCGGGCTCAGACGTTCGACGTCGTCAAAAGATGCCGAAAAGGGAATATCGGTCACGTGATGACCTCGAAATATCGAACGACGAGAAGGAGGATGACGACAATGACGGTGACGACGATGACCATGACGATGACCATGACGATGAGGAGGAGCACAAGGAAAACTACCGGTCAGTTCGGTTAGAACAAGGGTAGCCTGGGATGAAGACATGAATCTATCTAATGCATCGACTATGCATGAGCTTGTTTGTGTTACATAGCATACTGCAAGCAACCTCCGGGGAGCCATCTGGTCCAGCAGGATTAGATCTCGCATGAAGCTAACAGCCTATCTCAGCTGAAGGTGGCTTTTTCTCCTCATCTCCGACCTGGACTCGGCATCTAAAGCGGACAGATGCTTTCATTTGTGGTCTCAAGACCTGAGTATGACAAACTGTTATGCCGTGCGTGCATCGGTGTTGAGACTTCCGCTATCCCATGGTCATTACGACCGGGGCCACGTTTCCCCAGTTTTTGCGAACAGCATTATACTTCAGTTTTCTGGTTCAAGCAGCTCTCAGCTGGCTCGAGGATTGATTTGATTGAGTCCAATAACATGCCGAGACAACCGTCTCTGGCAAGCGGGATGCTGCCCAACCATTCCCTTCACTGGGTGTACTAGCTTCCATCCCCATACTCTGGCCACTCTAGAGTTTGGCAGATACCTGGAGTGGTTCGTCTTGAAGCTCCTGAGCAGCTCTCTCTCTTAGAACTTTTCTAAGGATCTTTCCTGATGTATTTTTAGGGATATCCTTGACAAACACTACTCCGCCAGTGATTCGTTTCGTGGGAGCAACGTTTTGCTTCATGTAGTCGATGATTTCTTTTGCGGTTGCCTTTGCGCCGGCTTTCAGGGTTATATATGCCCGCGGATACTCCTCACCGTCCCTATCAAAATATCTTGCATTAGGATAATCTTGACAGCACATTATGCGGGGTTGCTGTATGGTTTTTCTCACCTAGTTATGCCAATGACAGCTGCGTCTGCGACTGATGGATGTTCGAGAAGTACCCCTTCTAACTCTGCAGGGGCAACCTGGTTTCCCTTCACCTTGATAAGCTCCTGCGAAAAACAAACCTGGAGTTAGCGGAGTCTGTGGAGAAGAGTACAGTTGGCGATGCCTCGTTACCTTCTTCCGGTCAACAATGAAAAATTTCCCCTGCTCTGTCACGTAACCGATATCCCCAGTTTTGAGCCATCCATCTTCTGTTAAAGTTTCCCTGGTTGCTTCCGGCTTGTTCCAGTAGCCCTTCATGACGTTGGGGGCTCTGACCCATATTTCACCTCTTTCGTTCTCGCCAAGCTCTGTTACACCGTCCTCGGCCATTATCTTACACTCGCAGTTGGCATTTAGCTCTCCCACCGATGAACTCGTGCCCTGTTCATTTGGATCCCAGCAAAGAATAGTACAGGTAGTCCTGATCTACGTTAGTAACCATATACCCGCCATGTCATCTGATGCTACTACTATGTAGTAAAACGGATATTGAAGGGTAACTCACTCGGTCATACCCCAGCCCTGCCTGACATTGAGTTTCCCAGGAGGAAACATGGACTCAACTTCCTCACTGATTTCTCTTCCTAATGGAGCAGCTCCGGATCCAATTGACTCCAAGCTACTGAGATCGTATTTCTTCACCAGGGGATGTTTTGCTAGTGCAATCATGATGGGTGGAACAGTGAGTATCTCATTGATGCGGAATTTCTGGATATTTTCCAACATTTGAACGAAATCAAACCGAGCCATGATATATACCGGGATACCTCGCCGGAGTGCGGACGCTATGAAAAAGTTTTGTGCCATGGCATGATACAACGGTAAGAAACAAAGCCATCTGGACCTAGCAGTCTTATTTGTATATTCGTGGTGGAGAGAGCCGGTATGGTCGAATTGAAAGAGGTTGGCCACATAGTTTCTATGAGTGATCTCTACCCCCTTGGGGAGACCAGTTGTGCCGCTTGAATAGTTCAAGGCCAAGGTTTGATTGGATTCACCGGGAGCTGATAACGACTCCCAGACGAACCGGCTGCCTTCAGCAGGAGATGCGATGAGGTCTCCCCAGTAATGGCAACCCCGGGCACCACTCCCCGTACCATCAAACACTGCACTATTAAATATGAATACCCTATCCAGGCCCATACCGATGGACTCTGCAGCTGCGATACCAGTATCCAGACTTCCGTCGGCGCACAGGAGATACTTTGCTCCACTGTCCTTTAACTGGTATTCCAGCTCTCTTGGGGTGTATGTGGGATTTGCACCGGTGAAGATGCCACCAGCCATCACAGTCCCCATGAAAACCACAGGGAAGAACAAGTCATTCGGAGAGAATAGAAGGACACGATCGCCTGTTTTTATTCCCGATTTTCTCAATCCAACGGCGAACCGCTGGCACCAAAGACGGTAGTCATGGGGCGTGAAATAATGGGTGTCGGGGCGGGCTTGCATCAATAAAGCTGCATTTGGTCGTTGATAACGTCGCTGTCGGTGATCCAAAAATTACGGTAGGTAGTGATGCGTTGGGTATCTCCACAGACCATCTGGATTTGAAAACCATACTGAGCACAATGGGAAGAAGATATGTGATTCTGGAACCTTGTCAGCCCTATCGAAGTGGCGGAATTAGGGCCGCTGGGACCTGTGGTGAACTGACTGACCTAACTAACTAGTTATCGTCAACGTCTAGGTGTAGGATGGGAGATCAACAGCCGTTAATATTCTTCCAGCCTTTTTATCTTCAGTCTGGGACAAACGGAACAGCGATTAGCTGCATTAAATAAAAAATAGAGATTTCAACCAAGTATAAGAAGACGGGTTCGCGCTTCGCCCTGCTCCGCATTCACTAACTAGCGTTGACTTAAGCTCAGTGAATGCTCGGGTCTTTTCGTTTGAAGGATTTCAACCGTGGATTTGCTTTCAAACTAGGCAATATGTTTGCCCCCTTTGACTAGCACCTTATGACAATACCCGGTATAAATCTTCGGGCACTAATCCTACATTTATATATGTCTCTTCCAGCATCTAGCCGCGGCAACACAGCAAGTACAGAACGAAAACAGGGGGCCTCGCCATCGGTGGAGCGGATCTTCGAAAACGCCGTGTCTTTCTAGTTCGAGAATGGACCCCTTCTATGGAGAAGTTCTCGCGGTTCCCACGGCGATCGAGGCCCTGACGGCCAGATAAAATGCTATTATTATGGAACCAAGTTGAATACAGAAGGCCATGTTCGAGCTAAGGAAAAAAGCCTTGGGCAGCGATAGCAACTGGGTGTGATTTGATTGTATGCTGGTTCTGGCCGCATAGCCGAATCGAATAATGATAATATCCCAGGTGTAAGCCTGCTCTCACACTACCGGGAAGATAGCCCACAAATAGATCCTCTCGCCCAAGCGACTTGGCCAACGGGAGAGACCAGAAACCAAGGATCAAATACGATGTGCTTGCTGGCTTGACTAAGTGTGGCTTGAGGCCGAATCATGACATGCTTCCCTGCATAAACCTTGAGCCAACGATCAACGGCCAGCAGGCGAGAAAATCGGTCAAAAAATGGAAGCTTCGCCGAAAAAAAGAAACGATAGATTGCCTCTAACAAAGCGAGCCTATATTATTCCCGCGCGTCTCAAGTTGTACAAAAGGCCCTTTGGCGTTGGAATGCGGTCGAATATTCCGTTATTCTTCGTATGGTGGCTGTTTAAAAAAAAAAAAAAAATTCTAGCAAGGGGATACTCCGTTAATAAAACAAGACAACATTGACATTCAAAATGGCTCATATACAACTAATCATCACTTCCAGCGCCCATACATGCAATAGCTGTTTGAAGCTCTTTCACTATCTTCTCTTCCAACAAGTTCTCCGCACCACTCGATGGATTTAGAGGTGGTCTCTGCGCCCAGGCGGCCTCCTTTTCATTTGTCGGCGTGATACGCGAGCGTAGGACTGAACGCTTTTCCAGCAAAGCGTCAATATCGTCTTTCACCTGTGCTCTGTCCCACTTAAGGTCTTGGATATTTTGCGGGTCTACACCTGCACTTGGTCCTGCATCACGGAATTTCTGGATAATCATCGAAATCAATGCAAGAGAACAGGCTTCAGTTGCCATTCCAAGGGATAGATATTTGGAGTGATGGCTCATAGCTAGACTGGAGCTGGGAATAGCGGTTGGGTTGCTAAGTGAGAAGCCAGTTGATGCTCGTCGAAGCTGGCCATCAAATTGGTTAAGGAATGCAGCAACTTCGGGTACTGTGCGCCCAATGTGATATAGTAAATTCAAGCAGAGTGGCAGGAAACCAGAATTCCATATGGAGAAAAGCCTTGGAGTAGGGTCAAATGGACCACAGCCTTGGGGTTGGCGGAATGCCTCGGTGAGTCTGTAGGTTGACAGTTTGACAAGTATCCCGTCTACTGCAAGCTGCTCTGCAATGCTGGGAATACAAGATAGCTCTAGGAGATACAGCATGCTGATCTCGCCATACACAGGATCGCCTTCAATGGTTAGCTGATTTGACCATGAGAAAAGGGTTGCAGCGTATCGAATAGTATCACTATCAGCCAGGTGGAACGCAATCTGTTCGTAGATGCGATCGACATCCTTGACCTTTAGGGAGGTTTGCAAGATTGCTGTTAAAATGGCAAAATCCTTGGGAGTGCATTTTTCAGGAGAATCGTGTAGGTGTGTGCATAGAGATCGGTAGCCATTGGCAACTACGTTCTTGATCACATCCACAACGACAGTCAGATCAGAAGACACCTCAGGTTTCTGACTGACGGCTTCTGGGTTGACTAGATTAGCACCTGTAACATGGAACTGCAGTGTAAGGAAGAGCACATTAAGCAGGAGCCCATAATACTCTGTGTTGTCATGCAAGAGGGCACTCTCATATGTCGGGTTACGAAGCCGGATAGTTTCCCATGTAACAGATAAAAGGCTGAAAACTTCGGGACCCCTCGCTTGTACTTCAACAAGGCGATGAACTAGGGCTAGGGCGAATTCCGCTCTTGTTTCAAGTAGTTTGAAAAATATTTGCTCGTCAGGTATATCATGAGAGTTTGCAACCAAGCAATGGCGGACAACTCTAGCCATAGACTTCTGAACTTCACGGTCAGGCATAAAATCAGAGCAGTGCTCGATTGCAAAGAATTTCCAGCTGTGAAGAAGTGACTATTTCAAAGTCAGTAAAAAAATATTCGAATAGATCAAGAGGAACTTGACATACCATCTGTGCCTCGACGAGAGATAGGTTCAAATTGGCCCGTTTAACCTCTTCCACAAACCCTTGATCACGTTTACCAATCCATGCAAAATCGTAGCCGAAGAGCTTGTTACCCATTGGGACATCATAATAATATTCCTCCCCAAATTCCGGTTGCGTAAGTGCAGTGCGCTTGATATTTGATATCTTGCTCTCGCGGTATTTCATTTCAAAGTTGCGTTTCAGATTCGCATGTAGTGACGCATTGTATCCGTCAACCTCAACTGCATTTTCCGAGAGCCAGGTAACGAGTGGTATCAATGTTTTGAAGAACGACCCATCTCTGGCCTCCTTGGCACTGTGTAAATACACAGTGCAGATATCGACTACGAACGCAGCTATCCGTATATTCATGCATTTTTGGTATGGCTGAAGCTTGCTGATATTTAGGTAAGTGACGTATTTAGTTACCACGGCGAAGAAATTCGGGTGTTTCTTGAGCTCTGGTGTTACCCATGGCCAGTGTTCTTGGGCTTTAGCGATGAAATGTAGCGCGGCTACTGCTACTTGGGGTGTAATAGAAGAAATGGAGGACAGTAGATCCAGAGATGCTTCCAGGAACGGTTTTGATTTCATAGATGCAGCGGATTTGTCGGAATCTGCTTTCAGGGACTCTCGAGGAGAGCAGCCGGTCAGTAGGAAAACAGCAAGCCATTGCTGTCTTTTAGTTATAATTGAAGTCACGAGCTTCCAGATAGCTACCTTAACGTCATCGGATCCGAATGGCCGGTCAAATTTAGCTAGAGCATCTAGGAAACGGCACGATGACTCGGCACCAAGGTGTCCAAGTAGAGAAGGCGGCTCTCTGTCGGTATAGGCGGAGGCGCGAGACACAAGCAACTCCAGCAATGTAGAAATTGGGAGCTGGTATCTGCGATCAAGGACAAATAATCTTGCGAGAATAGGTGAGGCGCTAAAGAGCTGCTTCTCAAGTGCGGAAACGGGAGCGTCCGTCAGCCATCCAACTTGTATTAGGATCTTGGCCAAATCAAGTGTTGAAACCACCAAAGTACTGCATTCTATTGTAGAGTGAACCATGTTTTCAGGCACGTGAGCCTCAAATCCACCTAGGATAATTCGCAAGATGGGATTAGACGGGAGACTCTCGTTCAATCTTGGTCGGAGAATGTTCGATAGGTATCTGGCAGAACTTGAAAACACAGCAGTTATTTTATCGTCAGGGTCTTGGGTATCATCGGTTCCGTAAACGTAATAGAGGATTTTGTGGAAATTAATGGCTAAGGCGGTGTTGATTTCAATTTGTTGGTGGATGTCATTGTGTTTCCATCCGGAGCCGCTATTGTATATCTCCACCATAGCTCGAACGAAGTTGAGCAAGCAGGTGCGCATCGAGCGCACGGGAATTCCGGCTGTGTATTCAACCACGTAGGCGGCTGAAGTGACCTTTGCGGTGGTTCTTCGAAGAGCAGCATGAGTGATAGCATCATCGACAACAGATTCAAATAGTCTGATCGATGAGAGGAGGAACGAAAGATCTCCAGAGCTTGCCTCTACCGAGAAGATGATTTTATCCAACATTCCGCCGTTTCCATTGGTTGACAGGAAGGAACTTCGAACAAGAGCTGGCCAGACCCTTCCAGGGAGGACTTTGGTAAGCGACGATATGAAATGCATGCAAGACATAGTAAGATCGAGGTTTCGATTGCCAGATGTAGCGGCGCTGGCACCCTGAAGGCTGCGTTCGAAAATGTTGAAAATTACAGATATGATATCCGCATGGCGGTCTAACCCATCGCTCGCCATTTCTAAGATTCGTTTGGCGGAAGATTCGAGTCCATTAACCCTGGAGATGGCATATGCATTATCAATCAAGTCCGCAAGCAGACCGATAATATCTGCAGCATCATCATCGTCAGGGGCGTTTTCATTCCCGCGGCTGTTGGTACCTTGTTCTAGCCACTTGCCGAGGAATCCAAGGCAGTTGTACTGGTGATGCCACATTATCACAGCGGGCTTCGACTCGCTGACCACTTGCCCAACTGTAACTGCAGGAAGTACAGACAATTCATTAGCAAGAACTAATTCGTTAGAAGTTTGCATGATATCATGTTTCGCGGAAGCAATCTCTTTCATATCCAGTGGCGCGATTAGCTCGACATAGTTAGCATTTTCATCTTCCCGGATTGATCGATACCCCTGGAACCCAGATGCAACAGCCTGTGTATAGGTCGCCATGGATTCTAGTTCATGACAGATTATGGGCAGACCATCTTCGGTTGATAGGCTGCACCCTGAGAGAGCTCTGCAGAACTTCAAAAAATTTGCAGCCTCGTAGGGAAAACGAGACTTTGCATTTCGGAAGATCTTTTCCATTAGAATATCATCGTTTAGGAAGACAGCTCGAGGATCGTAAGCATCGTCGAATTTTGGTTCCTTGTCTAGGCAGCGATGTTCGGTTGGCTCAGATACGATGCATAGAACCGCTGCAACTAGCTCAGGAATGTAGTCTAGGTATTGAACCCCGGATCTAATCAGGTCTAAGAGCTCTAGCTGACCCCATTGGTTTACCAGATTCTCTCCTCTCTGTCTTGGGACGGATCGAAGCTGCTCTGACATAGCAAATATGAGTTCCAGCAAACGACATCTATCGACAGCGCTCGAAACGAGGAATCTGACAAAGTCCTCGTCAAACTCGGGATTGCGTGCCTTCTCCCAGACTTCCTCGTATATGGATGATTCGGAGAGAGCAGATGGTGTCGCAAACTGTGTGCTGTTGTTGAATGACTCTACAGCGTGGTTCGCCTGCTGGAGCTCTCTGTCTTCCTTAATCGCCAGGGCGATTTCTCCAACCGAATACATAATGACTGCCCAGGAAAACACTGCGGCACTTGCAGTTAGCCGGCCAACCTGGGCTGCTTTGAGAAATATCTCGTTGATCTCGCCAACATCCTTCTGAGATAAGAAGTATGGAACATTAGATGGCTTTAGCTCAGGTTTGTCCAAGCGCGCAGAAGAGGTCTGGAGTTTGAGGAAAGAGAGCGTTGTTATAGATATGAGAGTCTGAAGCTGGGAGCAGATGGCTGCTTGCTCCTCTGTTGACTTTTTTTGGAGTTAGCTTAGTGTGACAAGAGGAGATAGAGGCCAACACTTACTGGACGAATAGTCTCTAGGAATTCATATTCACTCATCAACCTGAGCCAAGACAAGAGTACATCAGACGAGGGGATTGCTTCAGAGGACCTGACCTGAAGGAAAAGGAGGCTCAATATCTGGACAAGTTCTTCAAGAGAACTTGCCTGCCAAGAGCTTTCCATTAACACGTCAGGCCCAACCGAATTTGACCACCAACTGCCGGCTTCTAGACCTTTAACGCGTAGCCGAAAAGCCTCAATGCAGCTGGGAATGCTAATCTCGGACTTTTCAACTTTCAATGTCCCGCACTGGCCGTTGAGGATGGCGCGCCCCAGCTGGCTGGCCCCCACGATAAAGCTATCGCCAGACCCAGATAATTGTTCAAGTTGTTGATCTTGCCGTGTATCCCGTAATGATGTGGCTACCAAGAAATGGGCAAGTTTGAGTATGTACCTCTGCTCCGACAACCAGATATGAAACAAGATTTTCTGCCTTGTTTCTTTGGATCTTAATGTTGCTGGTGATTCAGACTGCGAACCGGCGTATTTGAGAATGCTGGAGGCCTCGATTCCGTAGGACCCATGCGGTGATCTCCCAATCCCGACGGCATCATGCAGGCTTGTAAGCTCCTCTTCTGAAAAATGCGATAGGAGTTCATTTTCGCGTCGACGCTGCCAGGCTAACACGACTATGCGCAACGCGGAAACCTCGTCGATGCCGGCCTCCTTGCTCAGCCATAGCGCATCGGACTTTATTTCGTCTGAATCCGAGTTGTTTTTAGAGGACGCGACATGGATAGCGGCCGTCTTCGACTCAAATGCTGTCTTTGAAGCGCTGGATGGCTTAGGGAAGGGGGAGTAAGGGTTTGAGAGGATGCGGAGACCAGTTGAGGAAGAGAGGAAGTCGGAGATGTTCTTGTCAGGTTTAGACTGGTCGCCTGCTCTCGCTACAGACAAGTATGCGGTTTTCCAGGATCTACGCCTGTGGTTAGCATGCCGTTCAATTCCTGGGGTAGATTTTAAAAAACAAGGGTATGCGTACATGATCTGGCTGTCACCAAAGCACTCGTCCAGCGATGGGAAGTAGACGTCCGACGGCGGAGCCATGAGCGCATCCAGCTATATCATGGTCCGGGAGAGAGACCGAGGAGAGATCCGAGCCTGAGCAAGCACGCGGGCTGGTGCTAATTGATCAGTCAATCTGCAGGCGGTGCTGGCGGCTTTTGCGTGAAGTCGAAAAGTTGAAGCTCAAAAGGAAAAAAATAAGTCAACAAAGGTCGATGCCTATCTGGGACTAGCGCCGATTTCAAAGCCGCCCTGCCTTATCTTTGAGTCTGGTCTTCTCGCATTCTCGCTTCGCCGTCTATATAAAGGGACGGCGGACGGCGGGAGGACGACAGACAGCGTTCGCTTTCGACAGCAGAGAGAGACCGAGCAGAGACCGAGCAGAGACAGACGCAGCAGAAGCCCGATATAACAGCCGGCAGAAGAGCAGAAAGAGAGCTATCACGATGGCGCTGGTTGACCATTCACCAAACCACCCCACCCCGTCTGGACGGCTGGAGAACGCCTCCAATGTGATCTTGATCGATAACTACGACTCGTTTACATGGAATTTGTACCAGTATCTCGTTCTCGAGGGCGCCACAGTCAGGGTTATCCGCAACGACGCCGCTACGCTGGAGGAGCTGATTGCTGAAAAGCCTACCCAGCTCGTTCTCAGCCCCGGTCCCGGGCACCCCAAGACTGACGCAGGCATCTGCAATGAGGCCATCCAGCATTTTGCCGGCAAGATACCTATCTTTGGAGTGTGCATGGGCCAGCAATGCATTATATCCTCGTTTGGGGGTGAGGTGGATGTCGCAGGAGAGATTCTGCACGGCAAGACCTCTCCATTGAAGCATGACTCAAAGGGCGTATACGCCTCTCTTCCGGCTTCGCTGAACATTACACGCTACCATTCGCTGGCTGGATCGGCCACCACCATCCCAGACTGTCTTGAGATCTCCTCGACTACTGATTTGGGTGATCCTAACCGGCCCGATGTCATCATGGGCGTGAGACACAAGAAGTTCACCGTCGAGGGCGTTCAATTCCACCCAGAGAGCATTCTGACCGAACATGGACGAGCTATGTTCCGAAACTTCCTTCTGACTCGAGGGGGAACTTGGGAAGAGCACGATGCTTCTGCCCCTGGCCCAGCTACCGTTCCATCCACAAACGGCCAATCTAGTGAAATGAAGAAGGGATCTATCCTCGATAAGATCTACGCCCACCGTCAATCTGCAGTTAAAGTGCAAAAGGAGATCCCATCCCAGCGTCCAGAGGATCTTCAGGCTGCGTACGACCTTGGTATTTCTCCCCCACAGATTTCCTTCCCAGATCGTCTCGCCAGGTCTCCCTTCCCACTCTCTCTTATGGCTGAGATTAAGAGGGCTTCCCCTTCCAAGGGCATTATTGCTGCATCTATTTGTGCACCAGCTCAAGCCCGGAAGTACGCCATGGCCGGTGCCAGCGTCATCTCCGTGCTTACAGAACCAGAGTGGTTCAAGGGTAGCCTGGATGACCTACGTGCGGTCCGACAGAGCTTGGAGGGTATACCTAATCGTCCTGCCATTCTACGAAAGGAGTTTGTTTTTGATGAATACCAGATCCTTGAAGCCCGCCTTGCTGGTGCGGATACTGTGCTTTTGATTGTTAAGATGCTTGCAGAGCCTCTGCTCAAGAGACTATTCGATTACTCCCGAAAGCTTGGTATGGAGCCTCTGGTTGAAGTCAATAACCCTGAGGAGATGGAAATTGCAGTTAGACTGGGCTCTAAAGTCATTGGCGTCAACAACCGCAACCTCCAGAGCTTTGAAGTTGATCTAGAGACGACCAGCCGCCTCATGGGACAAGTTCCGGAATCCACCATTGTCTGTGCCCTCAGTGGCATCTCAGGCCCCCAGGATGTTGCACCATATCAGAAAAATGGAGTCAAGGCTGTCCTTGTTGGGGAGGCCCTTATGCGCGCTCAAGACGTTGGCGTGTTTGTATCTAAGCTCTTTGGAACCAAACCTGGGCCCTTTGCCCAGACTCCTGGAGCTCCCTTGGTCAAAATTTGCGGAACGAGATCTGCTACTGCTGCCAAGGCAGCCATTGAAGGTGGTGCTGACCTGATTGGTATTATTCTTGCAGAAGGCCGATCAAGAACTGTGTCCACTGAGACTGCTCTGGAAATTTCGAAGACTGTCAAATCCACACCACGTCCCTCTTCCTTGAAGACCCAACCTCCTGCTTATGGAGACGCATTCCTTGCCTCCAACTACTTTGACCACACTACCGGTCTCCTCAGAAACCCTGACCGGGCCCTTCTGGTTGGAGTATTCCAGAACCAGCCTCTTTCCTATATAGTGGCTCAGCAGCAGAAATTAGACCTTGACGTTATCCAGCTACACGGATCGGAGCCCGTTGAATGGCCGTCGCTCCTCCCTGTACCAGTTATCAAGAAGTTCTCCCCCTCAGATTTGGGAATTTCTCGCCGAGGCTATCACAGCCTTCCCCTCTTGGACTCTGGGGCTGGTGGTACTGGTGAGAGACTTGCCCTAGAACAAGTCAAGGATGTTCTAAAGAAAGACCCTGGACAACGAATTATCCTGGCTGGTGGCCTTGATGATAAAAATGTGACCGATGTTCTCCGCGCCCTTGGCGAGGAAGGAAACAAGGTTGTGGGTGTGGACGTCAGTAGCGGCGTTGAGACTGACGGAGCACAGGATGTTGAAAAGATCAAGGCTTTTATCACTGCTGCCAAAAATATTAGAAATACCACCTTGTGAATTCAAGGTACTGACTGCTTTCTAGATCAGTGATTATTATTTCGGGTGATAGAGGCCATTGTTTTTCTAAGTTGAACCGCTTCGTTTACGTATATGCTTTTTATGATAATGAGATGAGGTTAATGTCATTAGAACCTAGGGGGGAATATATATGATTCGAACTTATTTCCCGCTCCCCAATCCTGCAAGTGATGCCTCTGCTGAGTCCAACGACTTCTCAATCCTCCTTGGTTATCCCCGTGTATGTCACAATCTGCTTCTCTGGCTTGATATATATCTTAAACAATATCCTCGAGAAGCCAATTTAAGTTCTCACAGATACCCTCAACGGAAATACATCGATCAGGTCACTAGCACTCGGCTACCAAATTGTTACCTATCACTTTCACCTCAGTCCCTCTACAACCTATCAAAGCCCAGCTGAAGCTACAAATTATACCCAAAGCCATGGGCCGAACATTCAAGAATATAACCGTGAGCGTGACTGGTGAATTTGGACCCATTTCAGATAAATTCAAGCAATGGGTGGAAGCCAACGGTGGAAGTTTCTCCAGGGAGGTCAACAGCGGAGTCACCCATTTGCTATCTACAAAAGGAGCCTTCAAGGCGAACAACAACGCTGGTACGCTATGCAGATACAAAATTGCATACATTCTAGCTGTTCTCTTGAGCTCAGCTTTCCATGGCATGTCTGTCAAACATCGTATTAATACTAACAATATAAATTGCAGTACGAGCAGCTAAGCGCATTAAGGGGCTAAAAATAGTTTCTTCAGATTGGTTGGAAGACTCTCTTTTGTCAAAATCTCGACGCCCCAAGCGTGAAGGCCCATATCTATGGTCTCAATTGACTAAGAAGGCAAGGAAAACATCGTCTGGTCAGAAAAAAGCGGATAAAGATGTCAATACAAAGCAGATAAATGGTCTATATAAAACCCTCTTTAGAGGACTCTAGGCTGTGTAGCGTCATGGCTAACATTTACTCTCAAATCAGGCAATACAGTGAAAAAGCCTTTGGAACTCGGTGAAATCACTTTTCTTCTAATATCATATGGAGAATTATGTTCTAATGACTGTCGTTTTGGTAGCTGGCCATCATGTATACTCTGACGCAGCTGGGATTCGCTACATGGCAACTATGGTCCGACCAATTGAGGCCTCCAAGGCAAAAGAAAAGCATATCTTGAAGGTATTTAAATATATTAATACCTTTGAATTCAAATTTCTCAAACGCCTGAATCTCTGTTTAATGTCAATATCCTACCTAGCTCTATGAATCGGATAGTACCCCGCATACATACGCCGTCTTTGCAAAATATACCCGCCCAGGAAGAGTCGGGTCAGACTATACAGTTCCTGTCGGGAGTCCTTTACCCACTGCAATAAAGGATTTCAATAAGTTCTTTCGCGCAAAGACAGGCAAGCCGTGGGACAGAAGAGACGGCCCGTCAAAGCCTAGGAAGCCGGATGGTGAAATAGTGCCCCCTTGGGAGGATTGGTTTCAATATACCCCAGAGCCTTCACAAACTTCTACGCTCGCGATTAAGGAGACAGAGACAAATGGATGTTAACTACCAGAGGAATAGTACTGGATCCGGAGGCGCAATACGTTAATGCAAGTAGGACCGGATAGTGTTTCCAAAGCCTGCATCTCATAAGTTTCAATTTGATCATCAATCCCGTCAATTTTGTCGCACGTTTCTCACAATTATTCACGTTCTACTATAGATCATGAAACCCTAAGAAATAATGCAGGATCGGTACTCCCTTACCTTATAAAGTAGTAGGGCCTATATTTACATAGTTATCAAGTTCAGAAGTCTGTGGTAACGTCAATTTGTAAACGAGTGTGGTGAAATGCCGCAGCATTTTCTCCTAATCTATTAAATTTACTATCAATATGAGGCTTTTTCAGATTTTTTTTTTATTCTTTTTCATTCTTTTCTCAAGCATGTTTTCAAAAACTTCTCTCCTTTTCACATTCAGGTGTTAATAATATGTGTTTTTTCATTTTTTGGTTATCACCACCGACGTCCACTCCTGACTTTTGCAGTCCACTTTCATGAACATCCCTAGCAACCGCAGCACGCAAGGTGACTGGCCATTACTATCTACCGGTACCCGATCAACATAGATGAGAAGATATGTCGATGTTGCTAGGCATAACGGAATGCTGCCGAGGTCAAAAGGAATATTGTAGGCGGGGGCATTGCATGGGCATATCTCCTGATATTTCTTCCAATGCGAGGTACAGCAGGGGCGCTGTATAAAGAATTGGACCAGGCGGATTGGGTGGGAAAGGCAAATTTCTCAATGCACCTCGCTGGTTCAAGTATAGTGCAAAGTATTCGCAGCGTTTAGCAATAGAAACACGTGGCAGCCGTGATAAAATGACGGCGGAAAGAAGAACCTATGGCGTAAGAGCTGCAGGTACTGTATGCCTGTGGTACCATAATCACCTATACAGCGTGCAATCTTCTGTATCCCTGCATATGTAGACGGGAGATTAGGGAACAGTTCAGTCATAGTTTCCTCCGACTTGGCTTGCAAACGCGGTAGAGACGCTGCGGGCATCATCATCATCCCCGGAATGCCCTAAGTTCTGGCGTGGGACACGGATTCCAGCTGCACTCCCACCAAAGACACTTCCAGTATCAGTTCCGCCTCGGTATGGCTCAGGACGACCGCTTGATTCAACGTAGCGCTTCAAACGATCAGATTGACTCAGACTGGTTTGCTTCTGGACATCATGGATACTCAGGCCGGAGAGGCTGACTCCACCTTGGCCTACAGTACTTCTTCCATCGACAACACTACCAGTAACATCAGACTCTGTAGCTGCAACGGACTCGCCTGCAACGCTTGGTGCACCCCTCATCCTAGAGCCGTTTGGACGCCTGTTATTGGGGGCAGAAGGCCAGGATTCAGTGAAGTTTTGGAACATATGAGGGTATCCGGAGGGAATAGCCACGCCGCCTAGAGCCGATGAATGTACGGAAGATACATCATCTGGGATATAGCTCACGACGGATCCAGCATCATGATAATCGTGATGATGCCCATTTCTTCCATTTAACATGCTGCTGTCAACATTGGAGGCATGGTTGAACGACATCTGGAAACGCTGAGGGCCTCGGTAGGCTTGCTTTGGCCGGCTAAACTGAATGAGGGAGGTTTGGAGGTTAGACAGTGGTCCCTCTACGAGGCAGTTCTGTTCCTTGAAATGGCGTAGCAAATAGTTCCACAGCGGATGCTTGGAAAGAACTTTCGGATTTCCCAAGATAACCAGGCCATACTTAGCTCTGGTAAGTGCCACGTTCAGACGACGAGGGTCGCTAAGGAAACCGATTCCTTGGTGGTCGTTAGATCGGACGCAGGAAAGAACAATGAAATCCTTTTCACGGCCCTGGAATGCATCGACTGATGCGACTTCGATTTCTTTGTACCACTCCTTTTTGAAAGTACCGGTCAACTGCATAGAGCTGACGACATAACTGCGCTGACCTTCATATGGGGTGATAATACCAATGCCAGATGGTTTAACGCCAGCCTTGAAGAAACGAGTGACAATTTTTTCGACGTTGGCAGCCTCAGTGCGGTTGAGGTATGATGTCCCAGAGGCTGATATTTCCTCATTTCCCAAGTTCGACCAGAACATCATGGGTTTATCTGCGACTGGCCAGGGGAAGTCCACATTCTTGAGCAGACGGTCCTCGCTTGAGACACCGTTCTGGAGAGAACCTTCGTAGAACATATTTGAGGAGAACTGGGATAGACAGGGGTGCATTCGGTACTGAACGTTCAAACGAATAGGGGCACATCCTAGAATAACCAATCGTTCAAAGAGGGATTGGTTCAACCCGGCTTTGGCGGCCTTCTTGTTCATGATGACAGGTCCAAGCTGCTGGTGGTCACCGACAAGGACAGCCTGTTTGCATCCTAGAACAAGCGGGATCATACACTCTGGCTCTGCAGACTGGGTCGACTCATCAATTAGAACCGTGCGGAATTTCGACTTTGCTAGTCGTGGGTCGCCGGCACCAACGCAAGTGCAGCATATAACGTCGGCATTAGTCAAGATCTCCTTCTCAGCAGCACGGGTAAGCTGCTTATATTTCTTTTCATCTTGACTGGAGAGTTCGCCCAACTCAGTCTTTAGCTGGTTAAGTTTAACAAGCTCAATATTGCTGTCGTTGTTGCGAACTTGTTCGTGAAGCGAAAGGTGGCGAACCGGTGATTCAACGTCTTCTCGCGACTTTGCAGTTACACGAACGGTTTTAAGTCCGGTTCTATGAATGCATTCACATAGCTGGTCGACAGCGACGTTCGATGGCGCGCAGACGAGTACCTGGCCTGCATTAACCTTTGCGAGATGGTAGATAATGGTAGCTGATGTAACGGTTTTTCCAGTTCCAGGCGGACCCTGGATCAAGCTCAGGGGCTTCTGTAACACTGCCTTGACGGCGTTAATTTGACTGCTGTTGAGACCGGGGAGGCCAGGAACACTGAATTGCTTTGGCATCTGAGTCTTCATAGGGGCAGCGGCAACCTCGTTTCCAAGCAGGCGATGGAAAATGTAGCCTGACACGCTCATCTCGTCCACGGCGAAGGTCTTCATTGCAAGCTGCATACGATCAAAGGAGGTGGCCTTCCAGACATAATCTGCAGTAAAGTTATGGGATATCTCTGTCGGTACGGACTTGTGGTCTCCCTTTGAACGCAGCTCGATAGTGACTTCATCGGACTGGTTGTTGGGGATTTTGATAACATATCCAACACCCTCCCACTTCGGTCGAAGCTCCCCGGCATACTTGAGACGCATCTCGTCACCGACAGCAAGCTTCACATCGCCAAGCTCCAACTTTGGGAGAACAAAGCTGGCGAGGTGCTTATTGTTCAGACCAAGATCCCATCGAACAGTGAGGCCATCTTGAGACTGAGCCTCCTTTAACTTACGGTCATAGTCGGCTTCGATTTTGACGAGAGGTCCAAATACGTTTTGATATTGGTAGGCGTCATCGTATCTGAGTAAAACTGGAGCGGGTTCATCATCCACGTTCGTTGCTTTCTCCAAGTCCTCTACGGTGGCTGAGGCGTTTTCCTTCCAGAGCTCCTCCAACTTAGCAATCATCTGAGGACTGAGGTGACGAGCTCGAAGCTGCTCTTGATCGGATGGTGCAGAGACAAGCCACGGTAAAAATGAACGGTCTTCCATTAGTGGTTGCCATCGTGAGGTATCCCAGTTCATATCCTTTGAAGAAGGCATGGCTGCGCAAGGTTGGCGGCAAAGGAGCACCACGACGGTATCAGATTTTGCCGGAATGAATCCAAGAAGGAAAACATTCTTGGTTCCGCAGTTATAGCATTCCAATATAGTATCACCAAGTGATGATGCGGGATGGAGCTGAACTTCCTTGTGGCGAGCCCTGACCAGATGGTTCACGATATGCGATGAAGACGTGTTTCCACGAGCACTGCAAAACCACTTGTTGCAGGTTAAGCACTTGACAACACTGCTTGGATTGTGTATGCCACAGTATCTATATCTATTAGCTTTGCTCTACCCTCGAAAAATCGAGTACAGTAAGGGGGTATCGATATATCTGTACTTACCCGCAAGCGTGTGCGGGAAGCTCCTTTTCCTCCTCTGTTTTGCTTGCCTGGGGCTTGCCAGCACCATCAACTGCCACACTGGCCATGCTTTCCAGGTCGTCATCGTCGTCATCATCGAGAGTATCGGAGCCTTCGTCTTCATCGTCATGTCTTCGTTTCTGAGGCCCGCCCGCCATGTTCAACACGCTTTCTTCACCGTCCACCGTAGAGATATCGTCACCGCCAGCATTAATCGTAGCTGCAGAGTCAGAAACCATATGGTTTCCCATCTTGTTAAACGCTTCCATGCTGCCACATATGACTGGGTCTTTCACGATATGTAACTGGGGAAACAGTGGAGAGTGGTCCGATCAATGCGCGCAGCCCGATACAACGGATGAAGCTCTAGAGTATGCTCCAGAGCAGTCTGTAGGTCGTTATTAGTCCACAGTAGCAAAACATTGAGATCTCTGTCGGTTGGGGGAGTAAAAAATACCTGATCGGCTTCTGGGAGAGCCGGACCTAGAGAGGCTGACTTATCGGCCGCCGATATGAGGCAAAGCGCAGCGAAATAGCAGCAGCCCGGCTGTAACAAGAAGCGTAAGAAAAAGAGGGAGAAGAAAAGAGATCTAAGAAGAGAAGAAGAAAGGAAGAAGCAAGAGCTGACATCTGACGGAGTTGCTCGTTCTCCGTCGCCGCCTCTTTTATCCGTTTAACTAACTAACTAGTTGGCGCACGCAGTTAAGTTGGAGTTGGAGTTGAGGAAGAGAAAAAAGCCTATCGTGAAGTTTCTACGGTGACGCAGGAGAGCTACTTGCGCTGAACGCAACAAGAAAGGGGAAAAAAAAAAAAAAAAAAGGCAAAAAAGACATCACGACGTCGAAGTTATTATTTCCCACCCGCAATTCACAGCTGAAGCCGAGCCAGTGACCGGCTGTTATAGAGCAGGAAGAAAGGAATTATGATAGTAAGTTGTCCTCGTGGCCTATTTGCGGGTAGATGCTGACGGAGACGCAGAGACGACAAGCACGCGAGCGCAGAGACTATCTCTACCGCAAAGCTCTGCAGCTCAAAGATGCCTCGATTGCAGAACGGAGAGCGAAGCTAAAGCAGTCTCTGGCATCGGGGAAGCCTCTGGATCCGTCGATTGCGAACGATAGGCGGCTAAGGGAAGATTTCAAGTACGACGAGTCCCTTCCGGTGGGAGATCCAAAGGCCAAGGGAGCAGCGGAGGAGATTGATATCGACGATGAATATGGGGTCACCTCTGGCCTGGTTGATCCTCGGCCGCTCGTTACGACGTCGCGAGACCCTTCCTCTCGTCTGAGTACGTTTGCGAAGGAGATACGGCTGCTCATGCCTACCTCTATACGGCTTAATCGAGGAACGCTAGTGCTTAATGACCTGGTGGCCAGCGCAAGTGCTTCGGCACTCAGCGACATGGTCATTCTACATGAACATCGAGGCACACCCACTGCTATAACGATCTCGCATCTGCCTCATGGACCTACTGCCAGCTTTTCACTGCATAATGTTGTTCTCCGAGCTGATATACCGAATGCCGCGAGGGGGACGGTCTCAGAGAGCTATCCGCACCTAATATTCGAAGGATTCACGACCAAGTTGGGTAAACGAGTTGTCCAGATTCTGTCCCATCTTTTTCCTCCTCGGGAGGCAGGGAAAGTCGGCAGCAGGGTGGTCACTTTCAAAAATATCGAGGACAGCATCGAGGTACGACACCATGTTTTTGTCAAGACAGGTTACCAGGACGTCGAGCTGGCCGAAGTTGGTCCCCGTATGACCATGCGACTTTTTGAGATCAAGGGAGGCACCCTCGAGAAAGGTGCCGGAGGAGACGTTGAATGGGCGCTGACACAGTACACTCGGACGAGCAAGAAGAAGGACTACTTATGAACCATCTTATTTCGTATACTTTCTTCCTTATCTATTTGGCCAAAAAGGAAAACTAGAGGGCGTTTTTTGGGGGCATGTCAAAAGCATATTTTCACCCGGAGTGTTGGGAGTCAGTTGGCGGGTCAAGGCTTATATCGATACCTATGTCCATTTTTATGTGCGAGTCCTACAATAAATTGGTAAAATAAAACCAGCTTCCAAATAAGCGTCAGAATTTTGAAAGTCTTGAATAGAGAATCCAAACAGCAGGAAGCTGCCTGCGGCCAGCTGTCCAATCTAGCTCATGGAAGGGACGAAGCTATGGCGGCTGCTCGACAACAACAACAACAACAATACCTATCTACCTAAAGTGAATCAAAATGGCCTTCCTGGGCATTGTCTTCCTCTTCTGCTCCCTGTCACCATCTCCTCCCTAGACGGCCTAGCAATACCCGCTGTGATCGGTCCCTCCCTACCTGCCCTCCTGGCCTTGGTCGCATGCCATGGGCGACACTAACGGATCTCCCCTGAACAATAATCCATATGACGATGTCCGAGAGGAACTCAATGAAGCAATGCCCCGGGTCTCTCGAGCGGCCCTCGTTCGAGAGACCCTCAGGCTGCATGGGAGGGCTGTTGCGGCGCAGGGAGTCATCTTCACCGGGGTCGCCGTAACGGGCATCGACAGGGTTGGCGCTGGGGTGCCGGAAATCCCGAGGCCTGCAGAAGGCTCACCTGTGCACGCCGGAGAGGTCCACATCCTAAATCCAAACCCCCTTATCAACAACCATTCGAACACGATGCATGACCTTGGGGTTATTCAGAGATCTCGCTCGGTGAACATGTACAATGGTGCCGGTGAAGCTACCGCGTTTGGAGACTTGTTGGATGAGCTGCGAACACCGACAACAAATAAAATCATGGCCATCTTTATTCGGCACTTCTTTTGCGGCGTAAGTTTAACTACCCAGACGCCGTTTTTGAAGCCTTGTCTATTTAGATATACATATAGTTAGTTATATTTGCTGACCAAGGTACGCAGCATTGTCAAGAGTATGTTCGCTCCCTCTCAGCAGCATTCCCGAACCCGGACCAGGATCTTCCAACCGGTTGCAAGATGGTGATCATTGGATGCGGCTCGCATACCCTGATAGATCAGTACAGAGCCGTTACAAGGTGTCCTTTTGCTATCTACTCCGACCCAACCACAGAATTGTTCCGCATCTTTGCCATGAGACGCAATCTCCTGGTTGGTAAGGATGCTCCAAGTTTCTCTGGACGGTCCGATTTTTCCTTGATGTTGTCAGGTATCAAGCAGGGCCTCAAGCGCCTTTTCAAGGGAGACGCTTTCAAAGCAGGTAGCCCAAGACAGAACGGAGGCGAACTCCTATTTGAATTCGAACGAGAACCGCCTCTAAAAACTTCCGGAATATTGGCTATCCGCGTTACCTGGTGCCATATCATGGAGACAACTCGAGATCATGCGCCGATCAACGTCATCAAAAGGGTCCTTGGTATCCCGCTGCCCGGAGAAACCGATCTGACCCAGCCAGCGGCGCTAGCTGCGGCGCCATTAGGGAGTTTGTTATAAAAGTTGACAGAATATTCTTATCATTATCCTCCTCAAAGAAACTGACTATCATTGATGTCTTGTTTCGTGGTAATTCTGCGATTTACTCATTATACACTTGAAGCCCTCTTGCTTCGCTGCTCTCGTTTCTCGCTCTTCGTTCATAGTTAATTACTTAGGCTGTAATAAGATGATAACTTCTTGAATATTCTGACCTACTTTACCACGCATAAAATTTAAGAAATAATTTAATAAATACTAATAATATTTGTATTGACATTGATATATGCATCGACCTATTTAGGTAACCCATATATGAATGATAAAAATAAAGACAGCACCATTCGTTCTAGACCCAGATAATCCATCCATCCCATGTCCCAGAGCAATATTTATGACATCCCATTCAATGCACATTTCCATTTCCATATCAAACAAAAAAAGAAAAAATCAAGCATCAAGACACAAAAAATGGACAACTCAATAAACCTAGGAGGCCGGCTCTCTTCATATCAGATCACATATACCATGCCCCAGCAAATGCTTTAGATGAAATGGTAAAGGGGTCTTCCACATTCCTTGACAAACAAAGTGGTATAAGTAAAACACAAAGGGAAAAAAACAGGAAAGGGGACAAGAGAAAGGTGGAACGGAAAACGGGTCCACTGGAAGAGAAAAGACGGAAAAGTACTCGCTAGTATTCGAACAAAAGAGGTCATCACAGGTCGTTAGTATGTGGAAAGGGAGTACAAAATGTGAATTTAAATCAAGAAGGCGAAGCAACACAACGCAGAAGCAATGGAGCTGAAGGGGTATTAAAAGGAGATAAAACGGCTTTCATGGAGAAAAGATTGGCTAAACTTTGGTTTTATGTGCCAGCAGTAAGTTGGACGGCGTGGTATAGATGAGGGATGATTTCACGACTGTTCGTTTGAGGTAATGTTGGCCTTTGACGAGTCGCGTTCGGTGGATATGGCTCTCTTTAGCACGGACTGGCCGAGCTGTTTGAGGATACCCCTTCGTTCATTCTTAGTTTCCTCAGTATCAAACGGCGGTATGACAGGAGCAAGTTCGCTCTTCGTCACTCGGCAGAATAGCGTGGAGAAAAGGTATTGGTCGCCATTACCATCGTATAGAGGTAGGTAACGGAACCCTTGGGCCAAGCTGCTCAGCTTCGCGGTGAAGGTAGCTAGTTGGGTGCTGTTGTTGCCCACACTTCTGCCATCAGGAGAGTGCCAGACAACCCAGCGCACAAAGACGAGATCCGGGTATTTGGTTTCCAGGGAGAACTTGAACTGGTCGTTGAAGATGGGATTATAAGCGTTTCCTTGCTCAATACCTGTTCTGCGACGGTGAGGGTGGCCGATTCCAGATAGGCCGTTACGATCAGACGTGTCCATTCCACCTTCACCGAATGCGAGGCCCTTAGTCTTGTCGTCAGCGCTGAAAACCTCAATTTCGACGTAGGGATTGATGTTTTCGTCGAGGCCGATTTGCTTCGGTCGAGGCAGTTGCTGGGCGGAGATCACGTCTATGGAAAACCGGACAAGTTTCCTATCGACTTTTGGCTTTAGGCCTGGGCCTTTCCATGAAGGTGGCGGCAATCGTAAGCTTTCTGGTTTGAGAACATATCCGGTGCGGCCAGTCCCAGAGGCAAACATGGCTTGGTTCATTTGCATTCCGACATCATATGTCTGCCAGTTCAAAGCGACCATTTGAACGCTACGACGCCAGAAGATGTTTGGATCGAAATTTGATGATCGAACACGGAAGCCGGAAGGGTATACCCGAGTCAAGAAACGTCTATTATGCGCCTCGAGAAGAGCTTTACTTTCTGAATCTCGACAAATGCCTTCGAATGCTCGTTCGGCGAAGGAATAGACGTGGTTGAAACGTTTGCTTTCGGCAGAGTTGAAACTATGGAATTTATACCCACGGGTATAAACGCCTAGATCTGCAAGATCCTTGACGATTCTGCTCTTTTGGCCTCGTTTCTTCTCTTTCTGGATCGCGGCTGAACTCTGGCCGATGTCGCTTTCTTCAGAGGTGCTGCAGACGCTTGTTGCTGTAAAGGCGCGTCTGCCCAGGGGAGGGGGCACAGGTTCATTAGCTGAGCTGATTGTGGGTGGCGAGGAGAGAGGAGGGAGACTGTGAGGAGGGTCTTCCAGGACGGTCGGGGGCATGAAAGGGGAGCTTGAGCTACGCTTGCGCCCGGAGCTGACGAGTCCTGGTGGTACAGTAGAAGCCGGGCCGGTATCGATTATTTCCTCGGAAGTCTTGACTTTAATAAGAACGCGATGCTTCAGGGCCTCAGGGCTGGGCAGCACAGGCCAGTCATCCCCCAGTGTCTCAAGGACTAATTTCTCCTTGAAGGTATCTTTGATGATGTTAGTCATAGCAAGTTGTTGCTCTGGGTTGCAGTGGACCTCGAGAGAGATGATAAGAGGGTAGTCGGATGACAGGAAGGCATATTTGTTGATGACAGAGATACAATCCGCAAAAAGGACGCTGGTAGTCATCGTTCTCCCATGTGAGACAATTGGGCGACCATCGGCTCCATCCCAGCAATCGACTTCAACACATCGACAGCCCTTTTGAAGCGCAGTGACATACGCTTCTGTACTGGAGAAACCCGCGACTTGTCTTCCCAGAAGATAGGTGTTGTGTGAACTTGAAATGAAGTAGTCGTTGAGTGGGTAATCGAATTTTGGCTCAGGAACATGTGAAGGGTAGATCCCGTTGGAGGACGATATCAGGAACGCAGAGAAGGCATCTAGGCTCATGCGTGTAGGTGCATCATCAGGAAGAGGTGAATCCGACTGGCTCTGCGAACGCAGTCGAGCCTTGCGGACGAACTTTTCAAAAATAGAAACCCAGTAATCCCTGTTCTCTTGGACGTTTTCGCGTTGCGTATACTGGACGAAGTCGAGAAAGTTTGCCAGGGTCATCCCTTGTACGTCATCAGTAACCAGACGATTGTACAGATCTTTAATGTCTCGGCGGTATTTGAGCAGTTGGAAGAATTCCCTGAACTGCGCAAAGTTGACTCGTCCAGTGCCCGTGGTGTCAGCCCGAGCGAAGAGGATGCGTATAGTTTCCTTGGAGCAGTTAATGTGCAGACTGTGACATAAATTTCCGATACCTTCTGCATCAAGACTGTCCTCCTCGATAGCCCTAGGGTCCTGAGAAGCACGTCTAGATATCTCTCGTTGCCAGTGGGCGTTGAGAATGGCCTCGCTCTCCACAGAACCGGTCAAGCCTACCGTGAGGCCGATGCGGTATCGGGCAACGTTTTCCAGGGTCGTGGTCCAGAGCTCGAATATAGCTTCATCGGGTGCGATTAAATGGACGGTCTTGACCGCTCGGTTTTTAGAACCCTCAGAGTTATTGTAGATTATGGTGAACCACCGGTTTTCGAACTCCTCGGGAATGCGATGTTCCTCTCTGTGCATCCGAGCATCCCCTCGTAGTCTTATCTCCTTAATATCATCAATATATACCCGCTTGGACGGGTTTGACAGGTTCCAGAACATCTTCCCGGAGTCAAAATCAAGATAAAAAGTCATCGGTTTCTTCTTCAGCTTGTTTACCTTGGTCAGGGTACAGCCGCGCTGGAGGATGGGGTCAACCTTAGGGGCAACGCCACTGGCAGTACTGGTAATAGACCGTTGGTAATCGCTTTTCACTTTGCTGCTGTCAGGGCCGCACCAAGTCCCGAGGGTATCACATGATTCATCCTCCTCGTAGCTTGAATCTAAAGCGCTATCCCAGGATGCCGAAGTCGTTGACTTGCTATTGTTGCGCCTGAGCATGGTGACAGGGCCGGAGTCTTTGTCGCGTCTATCCTGAGAGTTCGACCGCCGTCGTCGGGAGAGCTTGTTGGCGGCTCCCCTTGATATTCTTCTCATCAGGCCGGGTCCCTTGATATTGCTGGTGGTATTTGTATTATTGCTACTATTGACAATGGTATTGTTGTTGTTATTGTTGACCGTATGGTTGTTGGTATTGGGTGCGGCATTCATAAAGGCAGCATCAGCGGGATACGTCAAGCTTTGATGGAGTGGAATAGAAAGTATTCCTTCGGGGAGGTCAAGAGGGCCTGGGTTATCCAGGGAGGTAGATAAAGGCGAGTTCATTAAGGGCAGACCTGAAAATCCAATGTCTGAAGTTTGAACAGGTCCTATCACCGGACTTGACGAGTTTGACAGATGGCTTCGGTGGACCAGCGTTAAGCTTGACATGTCGCTAGTTAGTGTGCTATAGTTTGCTACCGAGCGGGTAGCAGGATACGAAGAAGACATGAATTCTTGTACCCGAGGGATTCGGTGGAAGGGCGAGGCCGACTTAATAGGAGTGGCCCGAGAGCGGCCGACCAGGGCAGGGGACGGAGGTGCGGAGGCCATCATGGAGGATCACAAATAAGTCTGCCGGTATATGTGGAGCAAATTTTCCGGGGCTATGTGCATAGGAGCACGCTCCCTCTTTCTATTCAGGGAGAATGCTTGTATGATAGAGCAGAGCAAACCAGGGAGAGTATGGCCTGTTAGAGCCGTAGACAGCTGGATTGCGGAAGACTGGGGTGGCTGAAGTTTGGTATTTGTGTGTGTTGGGGAGTATAGTGAAGGGGGTGACGGCAGTAGAGGTAGGAAAGAAATTTGTAATAGCGGGAATGGGCGGGAAGGAGAGAGGGAGAGACGGTGAAATATCAAACGAGTCACCTTAGCTCCCTGGTCTGAGGTGTGTGGTGCATATTGACAAGGAGCTGTATATCTTCGACCAAGTCAAACTCTTCCACGGAACATTGGAGAGCTTTCGACGGGAAGATATATTCGAACAAACAATCAAGCAAAATTAAATATGCTGGCTGTCAACGAAAAGGGAAAGATATATATCTTCCTTCAGCTTCTTGCCGAAGCCCTTTTTTTTCTGTCCTCTCGTTTCTTTTTCCCTGCAAAAAAAAAAAAAGTCCCGGGGCCTCCCGTCCGGGAGAATCAACTAGGTACCCCCAACAGCAGCCTTGTTCAAGCAATGTGCGTCTGCGGTCAGAGCTCCAGGCGCCTAAACGTTTCCTTCAAAATAAGTGGACTTGTTGCTTTTTCCTTTCTTCGTGTTGTTTTTTACCCTTTGGGAATGCGAAAAAAAAAATAAAAAAAAAGAGATCCAGCCAGACAAAGAACAGGGTCCAAGTAAGAGGGGATATATCTCTTGCAGCCGAAGTGGAAAGACAATTCACCTGGCAGGCAGAGGAGGAAAGCTAAGAGTTTTAAGGTGGTCGTGTTTGTAACTATTTCATGGGAAGACCGTTAGACCAGGACGATCACAGTCAAGGGCGAGACCTCTTGCAAGGGGAGGAGTTAAAAAAGAGACAATAATGAAGGTGATATGGGGGTCATTTAATCCGTACCAGGCCTACTTTAGGAATATAGTCGCATGCAGCAACTAGCCTCCCAATTGCTGGCTCGTTTGCTTTGCCCGTTAAGAAGAAAAAGGTCGTACAGGGCGTTGATGATGTTGCAGGACGAGCGAACAGAAACAGTGGAATTGAGGACGGCAACGGTCGAGGGAGATTAAACAAAGTCCGTTCCTCTGTGCTGAACGGCGCGCAAGCCGCTGTATATATGATGAGGAAGTAAACGGAGCCCCCGTCCAGGGTATGAAATGCAAGCCCAGCGCCTGCAGGGTTCAGCTTTTTTTTTTTTTTGTAAGTATCTGCGGGTTTTTTTTTATTTCTTGGATCTCTTTTTTTCACCCTTTGCTATTTTATTTTTGTTATCTTAATTGCAGGGGTCTCTGGCGCAAGGGAGCAGCTGTCGGTGCGGAGGAGCCAGGTTTAGAAGCTCTCCGCCTGTCACTCCGTAACAATTTTGAGATTCTCTTTTTTTTGCAATGCGAACGGAGGTCAGGGCAGCTCTCGGGCAGTACGGAGTAGAGTAAAATCGGTCGCTGTACGGAGTAGTATGCGCTGTGTTTGCTTGGTGAATTTTGGTAGCGAGTATCTGATCGCAGCTGCAGGCAGGGATGGGCGAGGTGGGAGAAGAAGCAAAGCGGGAGAGGGAGGGAACAGGGCTGGCTTTAAAGAGAAGAAAGCGAAGATCCTGCCTGACTATCGGGCTGTATCAAACAATGCCGCAGCAGGAGGTTATTGGGCCAGCGTCAGAAGGGCGAAGCACGAAGACTGAGGTTGTCGAAGGCAGAAGAAGCAGACGAAGTCGACGTCGAGGAGACGGGTCGAGGATGGTTTTTTTTTTTTTATTTTTTATTTTTTCGCCCACGTCACTTTGGCGGTATCGCCGGGTCTTTTTGTTGTATGGCGGTGTAAGCGTATTACGAGGCAGTCGTGTAAGGTTGTATCTTGTATTTCGCTTACCAAGTCACGTTTTTTACACTTTGAATTACATAAAATACATCAACTTTGAACCTTTTTTTACCCCTCGACACGACGAAAAGTACTTCGACCGCGAGCATGGAACGACAGCAAAGAGAGGAGGGCTGGCGAGCAGGCAGCTGGTGCTCGGCAGAGTACGGGGGGGTTGCTGCAAGGCCGAGAGGGCTGTATCTGTACGATGTTGGCCGAAATTGATTAGATATGCTTGTATCCGACGTACTGGCAGGACCTTGGGACTGTTGATGGCCTCGCGTATTTCGGAGGAGCGGTGACCGATGTCCAGCCATTGAGGACACGGTGTGGTGCTCCAGCGGACAGAAGACGGTGGAAGAGAAGAGAGAGAGAGAGAGAGAGATAGACAGGCAGCCAGGCAGATGGGAAAAGTGACGACCCAACGTTGCGCCCCAGGCAGACAGACATTTTGCAGCGTTGAGCCGTCCTCACTGGTGTCACGTCTGGAGACATAGAGGGAGACACCCCTGACCAGGGCCACCGGGCCACAGCGGCAGCCAGCATACAGCCACAAGAGAATCAGTGACGAATGCTGCGGTCGTCAGCAGGCAACAATAGCCCAAACGAAGGGCATCAAGAAAAAACGAGAGAGGCGGCTGCCCCATCTACCGTGGGGTTCGACAGCGGAATGGCAGCTGTGTTCGCATCGCTAGCGTTGAACGAGCCTAGCATCGTCTATCAATTGGCTTTGGCATTTGAATCTGGTCTGGAGAGGGCAAAAAAAAAAAAAAAAAAGGAAAGAGGAATATATCGGCCTTTACGCCTTTTCTTTCCTTTCTTCTTCGTCGAGCGACCTGATGCAGGCTCATCCTTCTCGTCAAGACAAGGTCTGGTCAGTCCAGGTCAAGGCAGCCAGAATGGGAGGTGTCATCTCCAGCTTGACCGACTAGCGCGGGCGTCGTCTCCATGGTTGACTTGACGAGCCCAAGCCCAACACGAGAGAAGGCGAGAAGAGACTCTGCCCGGCCTAGAATTCCGATGGGGACAGGAAAAGGAGATAACTACTAGCTGGAGGAAGAGAGGTCTGTCTGGGTAGCAGTCACGCCACCTCATGCCTTGTCAAGCAAGCATGCTGAAGAATGAGTTGCATAGGCATTGCATGGCGCCGAAAACGACGAAGACGACGACATGTACTCAGTACTCCTCCAGCATGCTGCCTGCGTACATCTCTATACTCCAGGCTACTTCTCGCCGCTGTACTTGCTCTGCCTGCTGGCCCTCGAGGCTTTTGTTACCTGTACCAGCATTGCGTTAAGATAGGTTGGTATGTTCCAGAAAATGACCCGACGTACTGTTACAATACAATACCAGGCTAACCTCTGTGCTCTTTCAGCCCTAATTCCGATGGGCTTTCCTTTCTTACAAACCATCGCCCAAGTGGGAAAAGGGGGCTAATTAGACACTTCGTGGAGTCGTTAATATAATCTCGTTTGGCCAACGAGTTTCACAAAGGACGGGCTATTTTTTGCAAATAATATTAATGAGATAAAAAAAAAGAGGAGAGAGATTATGGATAAGGAGAAAGAGGGAGTCGGCTCACTCCGTATCCACATGTACTCCATCTTTTGCTGCTCCTCTTTCGCAAATCTCCCTCCCTTTCTCTTTCTCCCTATCAGCAGCCTGGTCTCAACAACCACGGCTGTGCCTGTCGTTGGCCCTTCTTTCACTGACCAGGGAGATGAGCAAAAAATAAGTTGATCAAGCATGATGACATCACTGGCGCAGTAGCACATCACTAGAAAAGTGGAGCGCCAAAGAGCCGGGACGGAAAATTGTTCCCATCATTGCCTGCCAGCGACAAGCGGACCAGAAGAGACAAGTTGGCTTTTGCGGACACTATTGGATAGCCGGGGTTGAAGAGAGAACATCTCTTGTTGTGCGTCCATCAGGAAGCCTAAAAAAAAAGTCGGTTGCCCTGAAAAGGGGGGCGAGAGGATGGATGTTACATCCTTTCCGGCCTGATCGGCTCGAAGGCGAAAGGGTGATGGCAATGCAGGAGATAACCCAAGTAACAAGGGGGAGGCAACCCTAACGAACGGACCTGAATCTTCCTGGAGAGGAAAGAAGAGACAGAGCACATCGTATCCATTGGTTATCCTCTGGGTTACTCGGTTTACTTGGTAGACACTGGTTGATCCAGCTTACCCAGCTTTTTATCTTTTTACTCTGGGTTAAAATGTTAATTGTTGGTTAACATGGTATGTATCATCCTTTACGGAGGCCATACCCCGACCTTTCCTGCCCTGCCCTGTCGTGCCTTGTCATGCCTTGCCTTTGTCGGTAGGCAGAGGAGAAGTGGTCACTATATTTTACAGAGTATACGGAGTACGATATTATTACACTTCGCACAGTATCCATAGGGCCGTCGACCTTCCCCTCTGTACTCCGCAAATAGTACATCGATGTGCATCAAAGTAACGTTTCAGATTATCGAGGCTAGCAGAAGATCTCACAGCAGAGTCGCAGCTCACAGCAAGAAACTCTCTCAACGAAAACTGGCACGCTAAGGAGCCTGGCTGTTGACTTGGAATCCTCCTACCCTATCCCCATCGACCTGCTAACCGACCCACCCGCTCAATATATACGTATAATGCAACCAGATATTATTTTAACTATGCGCCAGAAAGAGGAACGACAGCCCCCCCTTCCCCCCTGCTCGTTGCACAGGCGTAAACCAACTGGACCGGATGGCAGAGCCGGTCCGGCCTGGTCAAATACTCCTCCAGGGGCCAGCTAGGC